AAACCGAAAGCTTCTGGACTCAACCTAGCTAAGGATTCCTGGGTTCTGCTCTCTCCCCCATTCCCACCAGCCAGACCTGGAAAGTCTTACGTCTTGCCCTCCTCCTACTCTATTTGGATTACATACCACGGTGTTTCGAAGGAGAAATGTTAGCCATAGACTTATATATTTCAACACTTGGTCCCTGGCTAGTGGTTAGTGTCAGCATTTGGGGATGGTATAGTCTTCAGGGCAACGTTTCTCAACCTGGAGGTCAAAGGACCCTTTCACAGGAGCCGCCTAAGGCCATCGAAAAACCATATATATTTACATCACACATATTTACATAACAGTAGCAAAATTACAGTTACGGAGTAGCAATGAAAACAATTTTATGATTGGGGGGGTCAGCATAACATGAGGCACTGTATCAAAGGGTCACAGCGTTAGGAAGGTTGAGGAGCACTGCTTTAGGAGGTCTCTCCTCCAGTTTGCCCTCTTCACTTTCTGGTTGTGGTTAAAGATGTGATCTCTCAACTTCCTGCCCCAGGGCCTGCTGCCATGCCTAATACCATTGTGCAGCCAAAACAAACTCTTCTGAGAGTCCATTTTAGCCACGGTGTTTGATCTCAGCAACAGAAATGTAACGATACACACACCAATAAATTTACCAGGTGGAGAGATTAGTCAGGCGTGACGGGGCACGCCCGTAAATCTCCGCCCTTGAGAGGCAGAGGGCACGGCAAGTTCTGAGCCAGGATGGTCTACGTAGTGCGTTGACGGCGGCCAGGGACCACAGTTAAAACACGGTCTCAAACATGCCAAAAAGGGAGGCTGAAATAAGGTGGAGACCACAGAGAAAGAGTATTGACCTCTGGCCTTGGTGTCTACCCGTGCTCATATATGTAAACATGAACAACCCCAGCCCCCAGAGAAGAGGGGCAGGTGGGGTTAAAGGTGTGTGCCACCTGGCATCACCACCCAAGCCTGTTTTCTTTTTAAAGGAGCGTATTGTAAACTGGGCACAAAAGGAGGGGTTCGGGTCCGGGTGCCCGTGGGCCAGCCCCGCCTGGGCGAGTGTCTGAGCAGCTCTCGTGGGTGCCAGGGTGGGGGAAGGGAGGGGATTTAGTGTCGCCTCCCGAAGGCTGTGAGTGAACGGGTCAGCACATGTTTAGAAGGGTCTGAGATCCACAGCCAGGAGGACATGAGGTGAGGACGAGGGCTTGGCAGGGCTGTACAGCGCTTGCACCCACACCTGCGCCGCCAGCCTTAACCCCGCCCCCCAGAGAGAGATCTAAGATTTAAGGGTTTGTCTGTGTGTAGTCTTGGCTATCCTGGGACTCTGTAGACCAGGCTGGCCTTGAACTCACAGAAATCCACCTGCCTCTGCCTCCCGAGTGCTGGGATTAAAGGTGTGTGCCGCTTGTGCCCGGCTTAAGTTTCATTCTAAATTTTAAACTATTTTTACTATTGTTGTGTGTATGACGGGGTGTAGGGGGTGGATGGTGGAGGTCAGAAGAGGACTTTGTGGGGTTCCTCCTATCCTTTCAACTTTACATGGAGTCTGGGGATCTAACTCGGGCCATCGGGCTATTGCGGCAAGCGTTTTTGCTGGCTGAGCTGTCTTGGCAGATTTTTCCATTTTTTTGACGCTGTCTCATACTCACCAGGTGGCCAACGGTGAGGATGGCCTTCAACCTCTGCTCCTCTGCTCCAGCTCCAAGTACCAAGACTACAGGCGTGTGGGGCACCCACTCTGTTTCCTTTTTAAAGAAAGGCAAGGAAAGCAAGCCTCCATCTTTACAGTCGGGTTTCTGTGGGGAGCGGTGTGCAGGCTGGACAAGCCCCAGACAGTCCTTGGAAACAGTTATCTCTAAGCCTTGCCTCCTCTCGACAGTCTCGGGGCATCTGACCCTTTCCTTGGATGGCGCAGCTCAGACCGGGTATCTGGCTATGATCTTTCTTCTGTCTCTGTCTGTCTCCAGGCGCTTTGATTCCGACCTTCGACACACAAAAGCATACCAAGCATTTGAAAGCTGACATTGGTATTTTTATCTTGTCACTCGTGTGGGAGTACATTGGCTCAGTTGAAGGTCCGTGGAGTTTTATAGTGTTAACTCTCTCATTTAGGTCTACGATCCGGTTTTAATTCATTTTTTTATGTGGTTGTTAAGACATCATCTAGCTATATGGCATGTGCTGGTTTCAAACTCAAGAGCCTTCCATTCCAGGCTCTCAAGTGCTGGGCTCACAGGCCCAAGCCCTGTGTCTGAGTTCATTTTTTTTTTTTTTTTTTGGATTTTTGAGACAGGGTTTCTCCGTAGCTTTTGTTTGTTTGTTTGTTTTTCTTTTTCTTTTTTTCTTTTTCTTTTTTTTTTTTTTTTTTTTGGTTTTTCGAGACAGGGTTTTTCTGTGGCTTTGGAGCCTGTCCTGGAACTAGCTCTGTAGACCAGGCTGGTCTCGAACTCACAGAGATCCGCTGGGATTAAAGGCGTGCGCCACCATCGCCCAGCTTCTCCATAGCTTTTGGTTCCTGTCCTGGAACTAGCTCTTGAAGACCAGGCTGGCCTCGAACTCACAGAGATCCACCTGCCTCTCTGAGTTCATTTTTGTTACAGTTAGGGAGCAATCCAAACGTGTTCCTTTGCAGATGGACACTCAGCTGTCTTAACACTAAATGAATACAAGGGCTTGTGTTGTGTTGTTTTGGAAACTGGGCCTCATGTAGTCCAGGCTGGTCTTGAACTTCCAAGCCTGCATCCACCCCAAGAGTGCTGGGACTACAGGCGTAGTATCATGCCCAGTTCTCTCCTCATAGAATCATGTCAACCTCTTTGTTTGAAATTCACTGACTGTAAATTAGGATTTAATCCTGAATTCTCAACTCTGCTATTCTAGTTAGGCCTCCATTTTGAGCCTGTAAACAGCAAGAGGTTGAGAGTTCCCTTGGGACTTTTCATTTGAAAAGTCTTCTGGAGTGGGGAGTACTGCTCCAGGGGTGGGTGCCCTGCTGGTTGGGAGAGAGGTGTTTAGGCTAAAATGGGATAAGAATATGTAATGAAGCTGGGCAGTGGTGGCGCACACCTTTAGTCCCAGCACTAGGGAGGCAGAGGCAGGCGGATCTCATTGAGTCCGAGGCCAGCCTGGTCTACAGAGCTAGTTCCAGGACAGCCAGGACTGCTAGTTACACAAGGAGAAACCCTGTCTCGAACCCCTCACCTCCCCCTGCCCCTCAGAAGCAGGTGTTACATTCCTGTGCCACAAACCCTGCGTTGGGGGGGGGGGCAGAGGAAGAATGTGTATGTCTCAGAAAAGGGAGGTCCCCTCCCCACCCAGCCATCTCCAGGCAGTCTGCTGCTTCTTTGGCTCATGGCTTGCCTACGTCAGCACCTCACATTCTCCAGATACCCTAAGAGTCTGCCAAGCCTCTACTTACACCAAGGCCAAAGGCACCAGGGCTTAAAATAGCTCAGCCGTGGTGCCCTGGAGAGCATACATGGAGAAAGTGGGGGCAGACACCCCGGCTCCCTTCTCCGCAGAGCGAAGGGAAGGGAGATAAAGGTTGCTGGAGCTCTGCAAGGCTAACTTGGCTCTCAAGAGTGGGAAGGTGTCTGGGAAACTCGAGATAAGGCGCTAATTTCACTAACTGCCTAGCCAGGGCCATGGCAACTGTGGCCTCTCAGATCAGGAAGAGAAGCAGAAAGGCTGGCAGGAGGAAGAGGGTGTGGGTACCAGATGGGCTCAAGAGGGCGGGGCTGGAGGACAAGGGCTGTGTACTCAGAGACAGGCAGCTTTGGTGAGAGTCAAACACACTTTATTCAGCACAGGAATGTCTGTTTGGACAGAAGGCCTTGAGGGTCCCTGACAAAGAACTCTGCCTCAGGCCTCACTGTGAACAGAACAAAGGTCTTCATGTAAACTGGACACAAAAGGAGAGGGGTTCAGGATGGGGTTCCAGTGGGCCAGCCCCGCCTGGGCGAGTGTCTGAGCAGCTCTCGTGGGTGCCAGGGTGGGGGAGGGGAGGGGCCTTGTAGATTTAGTGTCGCCTCCCGAATGCAGTGAGTGAACGGGTCAGCACATGATTAGAAGGGTCTGAGATCCACAGCCAGGAGGACATGAGGTAAGGACGAGGGCTTGGCAGGGCTGTACAGCGCTTGCACCCAAACCTGCGCCCCCAGTCTACCAGTCACTCCCAGTTAGCTAATTGAAAAGGAGACTGACCTTCCCCGCCCAGGACACCACTTCTGAAAGTGGGGTCAGTGTGGGAGCTGGGGAGGGACCACCAGTGGCAGATAAGGCAGGTCTGCCGGCAGAACCAACCTTACTGACCACAGCCTCGGGACATCATGATCAGGATGGAGGAAGTGCTCGGGGATGCACCAGAAGAGCGCCAATTTTAACTTCTGCCCTGGGATGGAGTATAGGGCAAGGCCCCTTCATGCAGACTGGGTAGAGGGTAATCTCAGGTCGGGAAGCCCTGTGAGACCATTCCCTTCCCAGGGATGCTATGCTGGGCCAACAGGGCTGGGAGAGTAAGCTCTTTAGGAGGGTGGTGCTGGTCATCCTGGGATCTTTGGGGTGATAAGGAGAAGCTACCCATCATGGCCCATGTGGGGTTAGCTGAAGTCCCTATCAATACTAACCGGAGAGCAGAGGGCAAAGGGTGACAAGAGCATCTTCCTGATTGTCCCTAACCTGGAGGGATATGTTCCATAAACCATGTCCCCTACCAGGAGGGAACCTGTTTTGACCCTCCTCCATGGTGTGACCAAGCACTGTGGCCTGGAGAGGGACCCCTTCCATCCTGAGGGCCCTGTGCCCCCATGTGGCTATGAGGGTTGGCTCACCAGTAGGGAGTAGAACAGGGCTGTCTGTCTGGAGGCCAGGAGGCCAGGACTGGTGCCGGGGGTGGATGGGCATCAGGCACAGCCATCCGACTCTCACTAGTAAATCTGTACATTACACAAGGTGGAGAGACCCAGGGAAGACCAGCACCTATCTAAACGACTCACAGCTGGGGCAGGGGTCGCAGGGGTCACACAAATGCCCTGGTTTCCAGGGATCACAACCAACAGGCAAAAGGAACACAGACCATCCCTGTGGAGGCAAGGGGGTGGGGTGGGGGAGAACTGTTCTGGGCATGCGCCCTGCCGGGGACTCACTCGTCGAACTTCCCCTCCCGGATATGCTCAAAGGAGAAGGGGAGAAACTTGAAACCAGCCCCGGAGTAGAATTTATTCTGGAATTCCACCCTGGAAAAAAGAAGAGTAAAGTCACCATTTCGCTGAGAAAATAAGATAGGGCTAAGTGTAGTAGTGTAGGCTTCTTCCCAGCACCGGGAGACAAGGCAGGCCGATCATAGTGAGACCCCATCCAAAAATCAAATCAAATCAAGTGGTTAAATGGCCCGGTGGTTAAGGGCACCTGGTGTTCTTGCAGAAGACCTGAATTTGGTTCCCAGCAGAAGCGTGGCTGCTCACAACTGCCAGGAACTCCAGCTCCTGGAGACACCCTCCTCTAGCCTCCACACCCTCATTCAGACACATGGATAAAAATATTTAAATAATAATAAAGACGAGTGCTTCACCGTGCTGCCCGGGATGGCTCCAGTTCCCACAATAGCTGGGACTACCAGGAATGCCATCGCGCCTGGGCCAGGGTGACCCTTTTCAGACGTCTATGCTACCTTCCCTCCAGAAGACAACTCTGTGGAGGTGATTCTCTCACTCCACCTCCTCTTGTGCTGGAGTTTTATGTCAGCTTGACACAGGCTAGATTCTCACTTGACTGTTGAGAATCTCTAATAAGAAAATGCGCCCATAAGATTGGGCTATAGCAAGCCTTTAGGGCATTTTCTTAACGATTAATGGAGGAGGGCCTAGTTCATTGTGGGTGGTGCCATCCCTGGGCTGGTGGTCTTGTGCTCTAGGAGAGAGCAGGCTGAGCAGCCATGGGGAGCAAGCTAGTAAGCAGCACCCCTCCATGGTCCAGGTTTCTGCCTTGCTTGAGTTCCTGTCCTGACTTCCTTCAAGGATGAACAGTGATGTAAAGGGTAATCCAAAGAAACCCTTTCCTCCCCAACTTGCTTTGGTCATGGTGTTTTGTTGCAGCAACAGAAGCCCTAACTAGCCGGGCGATGGTGGCGCACTCCTTTAATCCCAGCACTCGGGAGGCAGAGGCAGGCGGATCTCTGTAAGTTCGAGACCAGCCTGGTCTACAGAGCTAGTTCCAGGACAGGCTCCAAAACCACAGAGAAACCCTGTCTCGAAAACCAAAAACCAAAACCAAAACAAAACAAAAAAAAAAAAAAAAAAAAGAAGAAGCCCTAACTAAGACACGCCCTTGTGTGGGTTCTGGGAATTGAACTCAGGTAGGTCATGAACTTTTCAGGTAAGCACTGTTACCCACTGAGCCTCTAAATGACCTACGCTATTTTTAAAATTAAAAATAACATTTAAAATGTATTATGGGGGGAGGTCAGAGGTCTACTTTGTGGAATCGGTCCTCCTCTTCTACTTTTCCATGTGTTCCTGAGGTCAAACTCAGGTTGCCAGGCTTGCGCGGCAACACCTTCACCACCGGGCCAGCTTGCCAGCTCCACGGGAGAGGCTTTCAGAGCCCAGGGCCACCCTCATGAAACCACCGCACAGGATGCCCGGAGAAGTCTCTGTCTTCACATCTCATTCCCAGCTTGGTCCTGCTGGGTGCGTTTGTTCTAAATGTGTAACAGCACAGACAGCGCAGTGTGACCGCAAGCTAAGGAAGAAGAAAGCCCTGAACCCCTTCAGCCACCAAAGGGAAACCCCCTGGAGTACTTCTTCTGGGTAAACACGACTGCCCCACCCCAAGAAGGGAGACTTGGGAGTGAATGCTGAAAGCGGTCAGTTCAGAAGAGGAAACTCTCAGGAAAGAGGGGGAGGCTTGGGGGGGGGGGCGTTCTTCTCGAAGCAAAAACATTCTCCAGCCACAAAAACATCTGAGAAAGAATTCTTCTCTGGAGTCTGAAAGGAAAAACAGGGCCTTAACTCCCTTCCCAGGCAGATCGGCGGCTATCCCTGCTGGTCTCTTTGGGGCCCTTTTCCAGCTCAGAGGGGCAGGAAGAAGTTGGGAGCAGGGCTGCCTGACTGTTTCCTCCCGCACACTCCCCTGGCTGGCAGCCCAGCAACCAAACCACCACCAAATATGGGCAGAAACACGCAGGCCTGATTCAGAGGAAGCCAAGCTGCCCTGGAGCATAATTTCCAGGAGGCACCCTGTGACCCTTGTAAGAACAGGCGGGATGGGACTGTGGTGGGCTGCAGGGGACAGGTGACAGAAGCGTCAAGGCCTGGAGAGGAATCTAGCTCCTCAGTGCACCCTTCAGCTACATGCAGGGCTTCTATCACTCAACCAGAGAACCGTGGGTGGGGGCTAGTGGTACCGAGTCCCAGGGGCTCCTTCGGTTCTGGTGTGGGCTGGAGGACACAGTGGCAGAGCTATGGGCTGTACCTATTAGGAGGAGTGGGAAGAACCTGCCGTGCAGAAGCAATCATATGGCGCTTTCTCTGCCACCCTCACAGTCTGCCGGGGCAGGACCCAGGCCCCAAGGCCTCCCAGGGAAAATGGACCCCAGCAAATTAGCTGCAGGATTCCAGGGCCCAAATTCACCCTCCATCCCAGTGCCAGCTTCTAAGAAGTCTCTCTGCAAGTTCAAGGCAGAGCTGGGGGTATGGGAAGGGTAGGGAGGTGGTTAGGCTCCTGCTCTAGCTCCCTTCCCTTGGGTCTGGAGGGTTCATGTTGGTTAGGCCTCATTCACGTATATCAAGGGTATTCCTCAACAACTGAACAAAAGGTGTACAGCCATGCTCTTTATCCTATACCATGTAGCCCAGGATTGCCCTCACGGGGTTCCAGCTCACGTCTACAGCTCTAAGGATGCATTCCAAATGACTCCCTGGCTGGCCAATCACACAGACAGACTATTCTAATTTCCAGCAGGACGAATGGAGCCTAAGTTTTGCGTGGACGGCTACAGTCACCAACCTGCTCGTCTCATGTCTGCAGTTCCGGCGCGTGGACTGACAGACAAGGTCCCTCTGGTGCGCCACCATCTTGGGTTTATCCTGAGGTCAGTCCTACTTTACCTCTCACCCCGAGAGTCCTCACCTCAAGCTCCTAGTACAGAAATGGAAAACAACTCCCCCTGGCTGCCCACCCAGGGAAACATGTGCTTCCTGAGTATAGACCAAAGTCGCCTTGTGGGGTGAGAGGTACTGACTCCTGAGGGCTCTTCAGCTGTTTGCTTAGCCTCTGAAGTGCACCGAGAACCCAGTCTCAGGAGTGCAGATGGGCTTCTGTCACCCCAGAGTCTCAGGAGTGCAGAGGCTTGTCTTGTCACCCCTTCCAGCTCCAGTTCGTGGCAAAGGCCACCTGGTGAGCCAGGGAGGCTGCCAGAGCGAATGTGAGTGCTCCCGCCATGTTCCAGAGCTGGCAGGAGGAGGAAGGGGCCATGGGGCCTTTTCCACTCTTTGGGGATGAAGAATTCTCTCTGACGGCTCGAGTATCAGGCAATGCTGTCAGCGGGGACTATCGCCCCAGGACTTTTACTCCAGCAACACTGCATTCCTCCCGCCTGCTCCCCAGGGCTGTCTCCTCAACCATCGACCCACGTGGGGACACACAGGTGTGAGCACGGGCACACACAGGGCTCTAGATGAGGGGCTCCCCATCCCGGCTGCAGCCTTTACACCTCATTCTGATGGCCAGTTACAGCAAGATCCCTGCTTTGTGTCTAATTATGGTGGGCATTAGCACCAAGAACACCTTGCAGGGTAGGTGGGAAGACACACAACCCAGAAGACAGAAATTATGTTCTCAAATGTCACTGGCCTTATGACCTCACAACTCCCAGACTAGTGATTTAGTTATCAAATAAATCAAAATCAAATTAAATGCTTTTCTTCTCAATTCCAAAGAAACTCAGAAGTGGTTTATCAGGGAAACACCGGGACGAAGTGAGAGGCATGAAGATGCTTGTGTCTGGTGCCAGCAACCAGCAGCACTATCCCTGGGCCACTGTGGCAAGGACCATCCCCACCCCTCACTAGAGTCACAACGCTGAGCTCCCTGCCGCGCTTGGCGCACTTCTGCATTTGGCCAGTAGAGGGCACACAAGCACCAATTAAACTTTTAAAGTGGTGGCGCCACCTCAGCTGTGTCAAGGACCACTCACCCCTCCAAAGCCAGCATTCTGAAAGTTGCATGAGGCTTCCTCCGTCTCTCCTCTTGTGCAACACTTACACTACCATACAGACAAATAAGAGAGAGACACCTCCGTCTCAAGCCTGTACCTAAGGGCATTCAGGTGGCAGCACACACCTCCTTTATGTCTCCTCGTTCTCTATCCAGCCGGAAAAGTCTGTTCACGGGGCCCGCCACACAGGTCCTCTCTACAGGGACCCTACCTTCAGCCATTGCCTATTACGGTGTGTCAGGGCTGCATAACAGACACCTGGTGTGTACGTTATTTCCCACGTTCCCACAGGAACTCTGCCTTCTGGCTACTGTCTTCTGTCTCAGAGAGCTCAGGATTGCCTGCCCGTGAGTCAGTGTGTCTCAGAAGCCTGCCTCACATCCTCTCCACTTCCCCATGTTCCTTTAGGAGAACAGAGGGAGACACTGTCACCTGAGGGCCGCAGGGGAGCCTGAGGACGAAGGCATTCACCTGGCAATAAAACATGGCTTCCCAAGCTGCTTCAGCTCCTGATGGCAGTGAGACCCAAGGCAGGCAACCTCCACATGCCGTGCACTCCTGCCTTGCTGACCTGCCTGATGGCTCTGACCTAACCTCGACGGCTCCTCACCCGCCCAGAACAGGAGGCAATCAAGGAGGGGCAGTCACTCTTCCCTCAAGTCCTGAGCTCGGGAGACACAGAGGAGAACAGGAAAGCATGGAGGCCAAGAGGGCAAGAAAAAGTGAGTCACCGGCGGGGCCTGGTTACGCAGACATTCCCTCACTGGAGTGGCTGCGGAAGTGTGCTGATAACCTGAGGGGAGGATGCCAAGCCAGAGCTGAAAGCATGCAGCACTCCCAACCTCCCAGCTCAAGTAAACAAACCACTGGGCGCGGAGGAGCCAGGGGAGAGCCAGCTCAGAGAAAGCAGAGTCTACTACAGTCCTCCTAGGCAGCCTGGAGGGAGGGTCACAGCCACAGCCTACCCCTAACACCCTTAATACCCCTTGATTCTCCCCCATAACTTAGTACAACCAACAGGAGACTCATGGGGCCAGAAGAGAAAGATGAGGGACACAGACAAGAGGCTCCAAAGGGTCAGGGCTGCACAAATCCCCTGTGGAGCTCAGAGACCGACCACCCACCACCTCATCCACGGGTTTCCGAGGCAGGGCCACTGAGTGAGTGTGGAGGGAGTGTTCGTGTAGGGCCAACTAGAGCTTCCGGAGATGCCGGGATTGACCCTTCCTTGACATGTTCCTCCTCCCTTTTTTTTTTTTTAAATAACTTATTTACTTTTTATTTATTTTTTTCTTTTTTTAATATTTATTTATTATGTATACAATAATCTGTCTGTATGCCTGAAGGCCAGAAGAGGGCGCCAGACCTCTTTACAGATGGTTATGAGCCACCATGTGGTTGCTGGGAATTGAACTCAGGACCTTTGGAAGAGCAGGCAATGCTCTTAACCGCTGAGCCATCTCTCCAGCCCTACTTTTTATTTTATATACATTGGTGTTTTACCTGCAAGTATGTCTGTATGCAGGAATCAGATCCTCTGGAACAGGAGTTACAGACAGTTATGAGCTGTCATCTGGGTGCTGGGAATTGAACCTGGGTCCTCTAGAGGAATAGTCAGGACTCTAATTGCTGAGCCATCTCTCCAGCCCCTTGACCCTTCCTTGAAAAGGAAAATGCAACATAAAGGAATAAATGGAGCCCCAAGGGGAGGAGTCTGAGGCAGGGCAGCCAGTGAAACACAGGCTTCCTGGATTGTACTGTGGCTGTGTTTCAGGCCCCTTTGAGAAATATTCATACAAAAATTATTCAGTTTATCTGAAACTCTACCTAACTGAGCATCTTGTGTTATTAGGAGCCTGTCCTGGCACTCACTCTATAGACAAGGTTGGCCTCGAACTCACAGAGATCCTCCTGCCTCTGCCTCCCGAGTGCTGGGATTAAAGGTGTGCACCACCACCTCTGGGATACAGTTGCTTATCTTGAGTGTGTGTATCTGTGCATGCAAGTGTGGACGCAAGAGGACAACATGCAAAAGTGTGTTCTCTCCTTCCACCACGTGGTTCCAATGAATTGAACTCAGGTCATCAGGCTTGGTGGCAAACACCTTAGCCCACTGAGCATGTCTCTAGACTTCTCTTATAATCTTATTTGCTAAATCTGGCAACCCTCATCTGAGGTCATAGTCACAGCCCAGCCTTTAGCTCTCCTATTTCTGAGCCATTTCTTCATATAGAGCCATGAAGGGTCACACAGTCCATCAAGGAGAGCAAACACCGCACACCTCCACAACCCTATACCACCTTTGGAAAAGCTGCTTTCATGTCCTTAGCATCCTACCAAAGCAGCATCGGCACAGGGACACAGTAAAGGGACAAAGTAGGGATAGAGTGTTCTCTAGCAATTCCTGGTTGGGGCCAGCCCCGGGCTCTAGCCACAGGCCAGAACAAAACACAAGCTCCTCGCTGTACACGGGTGTCCTAACACTTGAGAAGGTGAAGAACGGGAATCGTGAGTTTGAGGCCAGCCTAGGATATAGAGTGAGGCTCTTTTTTTTTTTTTTTTTTTTTTTTGGTTTTTTGAGACAGAGTTTCTCTGTGGTTTTGGAGCCTGTCCTGGAACTAGCTCTTGTAGACCAGGCTGGTCTCGAACTCACAGAGATCTGCCTGCCTCTGCCTCCCAAGTGCTGGGATTAAAGGCTTGCGCCACCACCGCCCGGCTATAGAGTGAGACTCTTAAAAAAGAAAACAAGCCAGGTAGCAGTGCTCACACCTTTAATCCCAACATTTGGGATGCAGAGGCAGGCAGATCTCTGTGAGTTCAAGGCCAGCCTGGACTACAGAGCGAGAGCCAGGACTGCCAGAGCTACACAGAGAAACTCTGCCTGGAAAAATAAAAACAAAACAAATGAAAAAAGGAAGAAAACAAAGAAAAACAAAACAAGTTCTATCCCAGAATCCCCTTCAGCTTTATAAGCACAGTCAAAGGCACCTAGGGACACAAAGCAAGGAGTGGGAGCCTTTCCTGGAACCCTTGAGATGAGCGGGCTGCCTGGGGCCTTTTCCAGGGCTCGGCGCCAGGAAAGAAGGGGAGCGTGCAGGAGCTGACTCCCCGGAGCCCACGCCAGGGCAGGCGACTACACCTCTCATAGTTGACATCGCACCCAATGAGGGGCTGGGTAGTGGTGTCGGCTTTGAAAAGCGATTTCAGCGCTGACTTCCTCAAAAATCCTTGCTGGCCTGGCTTCTAACTGGGGAACCCCATTACCCCTCAATTAAACCAGAGAAGGGCCAGCTTCCGTTCCCTAGAGGACAGACTTTTGGTGCTAAAGTGAGAACACTGCCCACTCCCTGGGACCACTCCCTGCTCCACCCAGCTCCACTCACCAGTGTAACCGCAGGGCGTGGAGGAAGGCCGAGAGGCCCTCCATGATCAGCAGAATGGCCACAGTCAGGGTGGCAAAGGCGGTGAAGATGAAGAACAGTAGAAACCCTCCGGCCAGACTCCGGACATTCAGGCCTATGTGGATCACCATGGTCCAGAGCACTTCAGAGAGCTCTGCAGAAGGGGAGACACGGGGTACAGCTGAACTGAGCAAAAGGGAGGATGAGACCTTTGCATTTCGCTCTGCCACTGTTAACCTGGAGAGTTCCTTGAAAACTGTATTCTTTTTTTCTTTTTTTTTCTGATTTTTAAAGACAGGGTTTCTCTGTAAAACCCTGGTTGTCCTATAGACAGGCTGGGTTCAAACTCACAGATCTGCCTGCCTCTGCCTCCCAAGTTCTGGGATTAAAGGCGTGCACCACCACCACCACCCATTAAAAACCATGTCTCTGCATTGGGGCAGCATCACTACAAACAGCTAACCTGCACAAGAGCGGACACACCTTATCTGCACTCATTCTTGGACTCAGGAACTGGACTGATGCCTGAAGTCTCCTGAGTTCCCGTGCTGGGGATGCCCCCACTGATCTAAGGAGTTCCCAGAGGAGGGGGAACTGGAGAGGACACACTCACGTGCATGCGCAAGGCTCAGGGCCCAGAGCCGCAGGTAGGAGGCCGTGTTGGAGATGCAGCCCAGGCAGTACTCGATGGTGTGGATGGCCTGGTGGACCATGGTGTCCGCAAAGTCAAACTGGCACAGGAGGAAACCAGAGGGGAGATCAGGCTAGGAGGGGAGCGTGCAGGAGCTGACTCCCCGGAGCCCACGCCCGGGCAGGCGACTACACCTCTCCTGGTTGACATCTCCCCTGATGAGGGGCTGGGTAGCGGTGTTGACTCCGAAAAGTGATTTCTGCAATGACTTCCCCCCAAATCGTTCCTGGCCTGGTTTCTAACGGGCACCCTAATATCCCCTGAATATGCTACACTGTATCTTTCTTTTTACACAGAGTTTCACTATATAGTTTCAGGCTAATCTTGAACTTGGAACCCCACCTCCTTATGCCGGCTTTGTGGTGTGTGCCACTGCATCAGAAAAGCTTTTTCTTTTCTTTTCTTAATTTTACGTGTTCTCTTTAAAAGACTTATTTTATTTTATTTTTGAGACAGGGTTTCCTCTGTGTATTCATAGCTGTCCTGGAACTCACTCTGTAGACCATGCTGGCCTTGAACTCAGAAGGTCCTCTTGCCTCTGCCTTCATAGTGCTGGGATAAAAGGTGTGCACCACCACTCGTCGGTCAGACTTAATTTATTTTTATTTTATGTGTATTAAGTGTCTTCCCTGCATGCAGATGTGTGTACTAGGTGTGTGCAATGCCCACAAAGGCCAGCAGAGGGCATCAGATCCTCTGGAATAGGAGTCTGTGAGTCTCCATGTGGGTGACAGGAATCGAACTCAGGACCTCTGGGAGAGCAGCCAATCTCTTAACCACTGACTATCTCTCCAGCCCCCACAGCGTGTATCTTTTTATTATTATTATTATTTTTTTTATTTTCGAGACAGGGTTTCTCAAGCTATCCTTGAACTAGCTCTTGTAGACCAGGCTGGCCTCGAACTCACAGAGATCCACCTGCCTCTGCCTCCCCATGCATGCACCACCACCGCCCGGCACACAGTGTGTATCTTAATGATCTTTTCAACAAATTTTTCTCTCCCTGGTGGGATCTGATCTCTTCAGTGGCATGCTGCGTCAAGAACCATGCCTTATTACTATTTTGGAGTCCTGCTGCTGTGATTAAATACCCCGACAAAAGCAACTGAGGGGAGAAAGGTTTATCTGGCTCCCAGTTCAGGGTGCAGTCATCATGTCGGGGAAGCCAAGGCAGCAGACGCTGAAAGAGGCAGAGAGCAATGGACGCATGAGCTGTTTGCCTTTCGCTCAGTCCGGGACCCCAAGCCAGGGAATGGGGCACCTACTTTTGAGCTGTCTTCCCCCTTCAGTTAGCCCAGCAGTGACAACCTCTCACAGGCATGGCCAGGGGCTTGTCTCACAGCCGACGTGCCTTACAGTGGAGCGCCTCTGCTTAGAATACGGCAAGGGCAGGCACGAAGAAGCTACTTGCACACTGGGTCCCACAGCCTCCTTATTTACTCTTTTCAGCATTTTGAGACTGAGACAACCTCCTTCTTCTGTGACTTCTGAAATGATCACCTAGGGAAACTTTGTCAAAAGTCCACTGATTTCCACATGAAGAGCTAATTGGAAATTAATGTAGGCGTGGCTGGCATGGTGGCTCACACTGTAAGCCCAACACTGAGGAGGCTGAAGTGAGCAGTCTGAACAACACAGTGAGACCCTGCATCTGGGGGGGAGGGCATTGGACTTCCCACAGGGCAGGGTGCCCTGCCATCTCTTAAGACTGGAGAGGGTGGGGCTGGAGAAATGGCTCAGTGGTTAAGAGCACTGGCTGCTCTTCCGAAGGTCCTGAGTTCAATTCCCAGCAACCACATGGTGGCTCACAACCATCTGTAATGAGATCTGGCGCCCTCTTCATGCAGGCAGAATGTTGTATACATAATAAATAAATAAAATCTTTAAAAAAAAAAAGACTGGAGAGGGTGGGAGGAGGGTGAGTGGGGAAGCGGGAGGGGAATGGGAGGAGGGGAGGAAGTGGAAATATTTGAATTGAAAAATAATATATTTGAAACCAAACAGGTGTGCCTGGGAGCTAGGGATGCAGCTCAGAGAACACTTGCCGAGCGTGCCCGGGGTTCAGTCTTCAGTGCTGCATGGAAGGGGGTTGGGGAGAACTCGGGGTCTGGAAGAAGTTTTCAGAGTCCCCTTTAGGAGCAGTTTTCTGAACTTGGTATATTCTAGAAAGCTTAGGAGGAGAAACAGAATGTCTACCACAGAGCAGGGCATAGTTTTCTTTCTGATATAACTCCTCCAAGCCCCGCACAAGATCAATCGCCAGCCTCAGCTCCTGGGCTCGGCCAGCTTCCCCATCCTCATATCTGGGCCTGTCTTATGCTATAGTCTCTATAGTGTGTGAAGGGGCTGGGCTGGAAAGTCATAAGAGTGTGGCCAGTAGGAAGAGGAGACACTTCCAGCAAGTCACCCTGGGGAAACGCCTCACTTCCAGTCACCTCTGCCTAATCCTGTGAGTTTCTGGACTTTTCTATAAGCCTCTTACTCTGAAAATGAGGAGCCCTTGTTATGTTATCCAGAGCTCGCTGGTTCAGCAGTGCTGTAAGAAGCCTTCCCACCCCGGCTGCAGGAACTGCCAGGAAGAAAGCCCAGAAATCAGGGAAAGCAAAACACTTTCAGTGTTTTCACATTTGACCCGATTTTCTCTCACTAAAAAAAAGGAGAACCATGGGGCTGGAGAGGTGGCTCATCGGTTAAGAACACTGGCTGCTTTTCCAGAGAACCCAGGTTCAGTTCCCAGCACCCACATGGCAGCTCACAACCACCTGTAACTCCAGATCCAACACCCTCGCACAGACATACATGCAGGAAAAACATCAATAAAAATAAATTATAATTTTAAAAAAGGAGAACCATAGTCAGGATAGACTATGTGAGAAAAGGGTATTTTCAATAAAAGAAAAAAAATGAAATAAAAAGGGAACCAGGTATAGCTGTGGAGACCTGTGGTCCCAGGACTTGAAAGGCAGAGGCAGGATGGTGAAGAGCTCAAGGCCATTCTTAGCTGCACAGTGAGTTCTAGGCTAGCCTAGGCAATAGGAGACACCACATGCCCATCACAGTAGAAAGGATAGGAGGGGAAACCTTCACTTCCAGGCAATACCCCTGCTTTCTCTTTTCCTTCCTTCGCATCTCCCTAGAAATGTTTTCTCAGGGGAGATGAGAATTAAGGGAGAAATCCAGGCAAGCACTTGGAAGGGGCCCGTCCTTGGCCACAGGCTGAACATAGGCATCTCTGATGTGATGGCAGTCACTTTCCAGCCTCCGCCTGGCCTCTCGTTCCTCCTCCAGAATGGCTTCTCTATAACGGTTACATCATCTCCCGGTGGCTGTACTTCGTGGTGTCTGTCACTGGGGCTGCTTCCTTCCTGCCTGAGAGTCTTCCTCCTCCTGACATTCCAAAATGTCCCGGTGTCACAGCCTCACCCCTAAGTCTGTTCTGTAGGGCTGGCACAGGCTCGCTGGGCACCTCATCTCTCTCCTGGTCACAGCCCCACATCCAGCCAGGGCCTTCCCTTCCAAGCCCTGTGACGGGCTTCTCTTTAAGCTATGCAGTCCCTTCCTGAATCACATCACACTACAGGATGTCTGTGCCCCCAGGCCGCGCCCTGTACTCTACAGCTCCACTCAGGGTCTCCAGCAGTGTCCCTGCACCCCAGCTTCACTACTCTGACGATTACTGCCACCAAAATGAAGCAACAACTACTGTCACCCTCCGCCAACACCTCTTCTCATGAGCTCCCCAACTCCCACATCAGCTCCAGCAGAGCTGAACCACTGCTGAGCACGGGCTTGGCCTACAGCTAGGCCTTCATCTTCTAATGCTGCAGATGGTGGTGGCTCTGCCCCTCCTCCTCTCTCCCTGCCTCCAGACACCCCTGCTTGGCCAGCCTCAGCTCAGGAGGAGGAACCTAAGGGAATCCTTTTCCACACTTCTTCCTGTTTCACCCCAGCGCCTGTCAGGTACCCTTCTGTGCCCCCACAGCATCCTGGGCACACATGCACCATGCTGTCTTTCTCCAGACTGTCTCCCCACCTTGTCTGCAACATCCTTAAAGGCAAGAGCTAGTTTTCCTCTCTCCATTTTTTTTTTTTTTTGTTTTTCAAGACAGGGTTTCTCTGTGGTTTTGGAGCCAGGCTGGTCTCGAACTCACAGAGATCCGCCAGCCTCTGCTTCCCGAGTGCTGGGATTAAAGGCGTGCGCCACCACCGCCCGGCCTCCTCTCTCCATTTTTATAGCACTCAACACAGTGCCTGACACGCGACTGCGCAGATGGGAGGGTGGGTGGGAATGAGGTGATGAGAGCAGCTGGTGAGAAGACACAGCAGGGAGAGGGGCCGCTGACCCTTGCTGAACCATTACAGCCTTCAAAGATTTCCTAGATATCAGTCGTCTGGGTCTGGTTTGGATCTGGACTAAGTGTCTCCTAAGGCAAGGGCACAATTGCCCTGCCTGGGGAATCAAACGCGTTTACATCCAAGCAACTGGGGAGTTACAGAAGCAGGTCACGCCGCTTTCTAAGAAACGGCTTTGAGTGAAATCATCACATAAATGTCAGTTACCTAAATTTGGCTGTGGAGAAGCAATGCCAGGCAAAGACAAAAGTTATGACTGGCAGACGCCAGGGAGAGGTAATTTCCTGAGTGTGATCAGTGGCAGGGAGGGGGAAGGCTACACCACAGCCTGTCTTCGTGACTGTCCACCTCCCAGGGACATGGCTATAAATGAGGATTAAACAGCCATATGAATGGCCCCAGACAGCTGACTAGAACATTCTGCTGCTGCTGAAGGTACTGGTACACAATGAGGGAGGCATCTGGAAAGCAGTGTTGTTGGAGGTGGCGATACCGGGAAAGGGCCAGGTCCCTCAGCAATGTGGAATCCCACTCATCCCCTCAACCATGCCAGGCAGCTCAGGCAGCAACTATGCACAGACACCTGGTCCAGGAGTGATGGTTGTTGATGCAGGCAAGGGAGCCTCTCCAGCCATCAGGGAGAACAAACGCTGCCTGTTTTGACACAGAACAGCAAAGGTTTTCCCACGGCCATGCACTGCCCCTTGGAGAGACCAGGTGAGGGAAGAGGACGGTTCATAGGTACAGGATGTTAGAGAGAAGTCTGGGGGAAAGATGCAAACAGTGAGGGAAGGCCTTCAGAAACTTATCTGAAAATCTGCATGTTGGTACATGAACCACTCTAGATGTGGCCTGAACATTTACCTGTCTTTCCATTCTACTTTTCATATTAACATATGATAGCCTTTCATGGAGATGGATTAGTTTTTCCTGAATGTGTCTGAGAGACAAAGCTCATTTTGAAGGTGGTTCACTTTTCAACCAGGTCACGTGAAGCTAAAACTGACTCCAAGCAAGGGTCTTGTGGCCCCAAGTTGAAGCATCACCAAGCTGATGGGGGAGCAGCAAGAAGAGGCTGGCTGCATCTCAGACAGGGAGGAATGGTAAGCTTTGCTTGCGAGCACTCAGAGGAGCAGGGTGGGGACCACTACCCCCGGTGGCAGAGCAACCAACGCATCACAGGAGAGGAAGTGGAGACCCGTGAGACTTAACCCCGTGAGTGGTGACCTCAAGAATGCCAATACAGACATTACTTGCAGCTTCTTCAAAGCCAGTTCCAGAGGTATTAGATCAGCAGCCAACAACACAAGGACAGAGGTGACCGACATGAGATGCAGTTAATGGAGATGGAACTTCAGAACGTGGGCTCACAAACTGGTTAGACATGGCCAATGAGATGCAGGATGCATGGCGTCATGTGTGTGGCCCCAGGGTGGAGTAGGGTTGGCAGAGTGAGCACAGGATGGGAAAAGAGAAGCCCCAGATAGACACAAAGGCTTTGGTCTTACCACTTCGTCCTCGGTAGGCTTGAAAACACAAATTCACACTTAGTGGGAAGCTGTAGCGCACACAAGGTCACAAGCTACGAGCACGCACTATTGCCTGTTTGGTGGGGGGGAGGGTGGCTAAGGGCTAAGGTGCTGCAGGCGCTCCTCCTTAGCATGCACGCCAAGGGAAATCACAGAATTAAGATACATGTTTTTAAAGGCACCCTGACATCTGTAATTAAAAAAAAAAAAAAAAAACAACTCATAGTCAAAGTGGCTAGCCTGAAAACTGCAGCCTGGGTCCCTCACTGCTATTTGATTTGCTTTAAAAATACTATAATACTAGGTGAGAGTACTAGTCCAGCTTGGAGGCGCCGTGCCACGAGTGCTCGGGCAATGAGAGCAGATCTGAAAGAGCTGAAATCGGAAGCAGAGTCAAAGAAAGGCTAGGCTGGCCTGACTCCTTTCCACTCTCACTCTAAAAAGAATTCAGATAACAAATTTTAAAAGCTCTTTAAAAACAAACAAAAAACCCTGGATCAAGAACACATCGATGGGGTAGGTCTCAAAAAGAAACCCTGAGTATAGCTGGGAAGCAGTGTGACCAAGGATTCTTGGGAGGATCGGAGGATGAAGAAGCTACTCTGAAGGCTCCTGTGTCTCTGCTAACAAGAGGTGGGATGCTGGGTGCTGCCTGGGTGGAGGAGAGCAGTTAGTAGTTGAGGTCCCATGCAGTGCCCCACAGACTGGCGGAATTCAAGAAGAGCAGAGCAAAGCTGCATGGGTCTGTGGCTGCCCCTGGAGATTAGAGCAGGCCCCACCAGGCATTGCTGCGACAGCCTAAGCAGGCCAGACGGCGGCCAATCATTAGTAGCTTTATTTCTCAAGGAGATGATTGAGTAAGCCTCTTAGAAAACAAGACTAGCGCTGTCCAGGTTAGGAGAGGAAGCCCGCACCACTGGATCTTACCTCGTCTGCGTCCTCTGAATGGGTGGAGAGCTGGTCATGCTGAATAATCTCAGCATCCTCCTCTGTCGGTCCGTTGCCCACCCTGATCCCACCAAAGTTGAGAGTTCCCTACACAGATGAACAGAAAGAGTAGTATTCGCCTGGGCTTTAATGTGGCACTCTGTGAGGTGGGGAAGGGTGATGGTTAGTACATACAATCCTCTGAAAGGCAAACATCCTAACAACAAAAGAGACACCCACCGACTGAACAAGCTAAGTGAAAACAAGTAACTGCCCCACCCCAACCACCACTGCTCTGGCCCCCATGAGCGACAGCCTGTGTTTACCACCTCATCCGGCAACACCGAGATGAAGCACCCTTGCCCTGGTCAATGCTAATGGAGCTCTGTGTGAATGGGAAGCTGAACATGAACACACTCTCATTACAAGAGTGCTGGACCTGTAAGGTCTGTGAGGGCCCAAGTGCTGGTGGGACTGAAGATTAAATTGTGCAAGTAGGGTGTGGGGGGACAGATGACAGCAAATGACGGGATGAGTACGCGCAGATCTGACGTGCTTTCAACAGGGCCCGAGGTTCCAGTGGCCTCTCCCAGAAATGCACCTGTCTGTCTAGGAACAAAGGTCCCTAGGTCAGGGAGAAAAACAAACAAAACAACATCCTAACAGACACTCATTTGTGGCTAAAGAATACTAAGTTTTAAAAATGTAAAATAAACCGGAGGGTTCTGGGTGGAGCAGAGGGGAATTAGGAAGCAGCCCCTGAACTACTTCCCATGGGCTCTGTCAACCCAAAGCTCAGCACCGCTTGCCTGCACTGTGACATGTCCAGTAAGCTCCAACAATGTGTCCGCAGGGTTGGGAACGTCCCTGCGGTCTCCGTCCTTAGTTTCACCCTTTGGAACACCTCTTCCACTATGCTCACTGACCAGTTCAGCCCCCAGTGTCTATGTAGACAGGCTCCTTTTTTCTTATAGGAGCTGTCCTACAAGGTTGGTCGTAGGAACAGCTACAGGAAGAGCACTTGGAAACTACATTTTCTTTCTTTTTCTTTTTTGGTTTTTTTGAGAAAAGTGCTTCTCTGTGTAGCCCTGGCTCTCCTGAAACTCACTCTGTAGAACAGGTTGTCCTCAAACTCAGAGATCCACCTGCCTCTGCCTCTTGAGTGCTGTCCCTCCCAGCTGGAAGTTACATTTTTAATAGATCCTCATATGCTATCCCCAGAAAGTATATATTCAGTAGGTCTGGGGTGGGGTACAGGATTGCATTGCTGAATAAATGGTATAATCATTGTGAAGGGTACTCCAAAATAGGAAATACATTGCACCCATGGAGATCAACAGTCCCACTGCTAGGCCACCTATATTTACAAACTCTGGTAAGATACATATGAATCAGGGTATTCTCTACATTATTATTTATAATAGCAAAAATTGGAACAAGTATCATATCCATCATTGGCAGTGAAGATGTAATTTCAGCATATCCAGCAGATTCTAGGGCATGCTGGGTACCATAAAAAGCCTGGGGACTACTATGAGGACAACCTCTGAGATACACAAGTACCACATCCATCACCAACAATGATGACATAGTGTCAGCATATCCAGAGGATTCTAGGGCATCCTGGGAACCATGAAAAGATTAGGGACCACTATGAAAACAGCCTCTAAGATACACCAAGAGGTAGAAAAGTGATTCGGTTTAAAGCATCTCTCTCTTTCTAGGCATACATGTCTACACATGTACCGACAGATGACAGACACGTGCTGAAGGCCAAGCCTGACGGCAGTGCCCTGGAAGAGGATCGTAGTGGGGACTGAGGTCTCTTCTTAGTTAGTGGTACAGGCTTTCTCCAGCCAAAGTATACCCCATTGCTTGCTTTCCTTCCTTTTCTTTCTTCCTTCATGCCTCCCTTTCTTAGATCACGGAATTATGGGCCACTTAATTTTTTTTTCTTCAATTCATCTGTTTGATCCAGATTCAAAGTTCACCAGGTAGTTCTGATATACAGTCAGGTTTGGGAACCACGGAAGCCTAAGCACTCCCAGGCTGGGTACAGAAGACACCTTGCTGCCTCCAAAGGGAGGACTCTAAGCATTACAGAGGGTGCAGGGGAGACTCCATTGTATCTTGACCTGGGTTCTACAGGGTGGAGGAGGAAGGGCTTCAGAATTTGGGATTCCCCAAACAGAGGCCATGTCTAAAAGGTTTCTCTAGCCAACAGAAGAAGTGAGAACAGGCAGGTTGGACCTCCCAGCCAGACTCTAGCGAGTATCCTGTAGAGCACAGGGAATAAGAGCTCCAGGAAAGAGATGGGAGACACCCCAGCAAGGATTAGAAAGCTGAACTGTGATAACGCCACTCACAGAGACAACCAAGGAGACAAGAAGCAGAACAGAAGTAGATCTGTGCTCTTAGCCTCAGCCTCGAGAGAGATTCAGCTACAGAACCAGTGACTAAGATGACCCCAGTGTGAAAGCTTCCAGATGAGCAGGGCTTTTCTGTGGAGTTTATCATGGAAGATGGCACCAGACTTAAAGGCGTCAAGAACTTCCCAGATGCACCTTGAGATGCTGAGATAGAAGACTACGTGGAAAGAAAATCAGCGATGGGCAGTACTTGAAAATCATTTCAAATAGCAAGATTAAAGTTGCATCTGGCACAGACATGCATTTTCCTTAAAGAAGTATATTGCTAAATAGGGCAATCCCAGCCAGGGAAACTGAAAATCTGGAATGTTGGATTACACAGATCCTACTGCATTCTAAGATGCTGGTGAAAAGATGGTTTTTGAGGACAAATGCTCACATGCCTAACGTTCAAAGTGTGGTCACTGGAATGGAAGTTAGGATTAGAGGAGGGGAATGCCAGACAGATGGATTTGGTTGCTCTGACAGGTGTGTAGCATGCAGGAGACACACGCAAGAGGGGAGGGCTCAGTACACAAGGGCATTGGGATCCCAGGAAGGGAAAGAGATACAGACCTTCTCTAAGGAAGGCAAGTTATGGTCACGTATCCTTTAAAGATGGACTCTCAAGTACGGAGACATCAACGAAAGAGTCTGCGCCCTTCTTGCCTCCACACTGAAAACTTACCCCACACATGGTCACAAAATACAGACTTAAAAGTGGGTGAGTCCAAAAGCTGCTGTCTTCGAGTAAGATGATGGGACCCGAGGAGAGACAGAAGCCACTTTGCTCCCGAGGGCAGGACTGTACTTACACATTTGAACGGAAACTTAGCAGGCCAATGGTAAAGATGATACCTGAATCTATTCCTAAGAGGTGGAAGGCTCCTCTGTCATCGTCTCAGTGAGCAACAAGGACGCACTTCTTGAGAGCGCAGGTCCCACGCTCTCAACAGCATTAAAAAGGAACTCGGGTGCACTGTTTGCCACTCGTTAGACAAACATTGACTCGGCTGGAGTTAATTGACTCACTGTTGCAGCCGATGCTGCCTCTAGTCCCTGTTGGCTCGGGGTTGGGCTGACTGGGGCCTCCACGGGTTGCCCTTCCTGATAGTGAATGGGAGAAAAGAAGAAGGGAGAAGAGAACGAAGAGGGGGGGAGGGGAAGGAGAGACGAATGGAGGTACATGAAAGGATGAAGATGGTCGGAAAAGGGAGAAGGAGGGTCTTGTAACTCAGCTGCTCTCCAACGGGAAGGGTCATCTCACAGCCACAGGAACCATGCAACAAGATCTCTAGGGTTTTCCCAGGCAGTGCAGTACAGAAGCATTATTGGATAGCCAGAAACTACACGCAGTATTGAACGCTTGGCAAGCTTAACTCTGTATGTGTGTAGAGCTGGTATACACACATGCATTAAGTAAACACCTGTGTGTGCAAAGGCTGCATTTTAAAAGAAGAAGAAAAGACCAGTGTGCTTTAAATCAGACCCTTTCCCAGATGTTCTGGTCCGTGAAAGCATCATGGTCTCATTTTTTAAAAAAAGTGTCTTGGTGTCAGTCCTGTGGCTGGCCAGGCAAACCACACGAGTGGGTTTGCTCTCTGCAGCTCGTCTAACCCTGTTTTGGCTGACACTGCATCCAGACAGGCCCAGGCCTGGACTCTGCTGGGGACAGCATGAGTAACTCATGACCAAGAGAGGTAAAAACATGACTTATTCACTCCAATCCAGTCATTTGAAGTTGGAATTCAGGTGTCTGAGCCACTGGCAGGCCCGGTGTTCATGCTCGTATGTAACACAATGCATTTTAAGAATGCATGCATGTGTGCACCATTAATTATGTCCTCTGAGGAACTGCCTTGATCTTAAACAAGGAGAAAGTCTAGTAACCTCCAGCTATGGAAATATACTCACCAAATGCTTCTTCCGCAAATACTGATGGCGCAGGATCAGGGGCTTAAAGAGCAGCATCCAAGGGACGCAGAGCATGGCAACCACTATGAGGAAACACTGAATCCCTTTCTGCAAAGTGAGAGACAAGGTGCTTCATACAGTCCATTAGTCACACGGTTTCCAACCACAGCACAAATTTCCTCCCAAACAGTATTTTCTCACTGTCTATGATCATTACCTGGTTCTCTAAGTAATGAGCAGGTGCCATGAGAAACCCAGTGACTGTCCCACAAAACGGTAGTTCTAAATTCTGCTCCTTTTCCTCACTACTCATCTAATTGTTTGAGACACGTCCTCATTATGTAGTTCAGCCTGGCCTGGAATTCACTAGTTAGCCCAGGCTTGCCTAGACCTCTGGCTCCTCCCACCTCAGCCTGCCGAGTGCTGGGATTACAGGCCTATGGCACTGAGCCCTACAAATTCTATCCTTTACAGCCAGGATTAACGGGAGCCCTCCCGAGCTAAGAGGGGTGGGGGAGTGGTTTGAGTATATGTGGTGATATGAGCTGAAAGCCATTTACTACAGAACATGTTTCTAGACTTTCTTCAGGTCAGAGTGACATGTGGCTTACAACACCCCTCCTCTAGGGCTGACGTACCTGTCCCGAGTACAGCATCGCATTACCAGACTCTGGGTAGGAGAAGAGGAACATGTTGATGAAGTGGATCAGGAGGCTTGGTGCATTCCTAGATGAGTGGACATCGTAGGCTGTCCACTTATAGAAGATAAGGATGACCAGGTAGCCAAACAAGGAGGTCATGAAGATTACTTCAGGGATGAAGCCAAAGTAGATATTCAGGGGCTTCTTGAAATAGCTAAGAAGGAAAAGAGGAAAATGGTGTGAAGGGTTAGCAGGCCCCTGGCACTCCTTCACTGACATGAGTGCTCGATAGATTTTTTTCCACGTGCTGCTTGTCCCCTCAGCCCTGCCTGTGTCAATTTAATTACAGCCAGAAGCGCTGGAGACAACAGAGGCAACATCTCCAAACTTGTGGCCTCGAATGCCTCCAGAACCACATCCACCACTTTGAGAAAGTGCCTGGAAAATCTAATATATGGATTTTGTATGAATTACACATCAAGGAAGAAGCAATGGGGTTGGAGAGAGGGCTTATTAGTTAAGAGCACTTACTGCTCTTGCAGAGGACCCAAGTACAAATTCCCAGCACCCACATCAGACAGCTCTCAATCTCAGGGGACTCCAGCTCCACGAGAACCCCAATACACATGTACATACCCCCTCACACAATTCAAAATAAAATTAATACATATTCTTAAAAAATTCACTTAAGCCTGGGGTTTAGATCCATCGTTCAGTGTCTATCTGGTAGGTACAAGGCCTGGGTCAATCATCATCATCAAAAGAATTTGCTAAATCGAATGAAAATTGCTGCATCTTTTTCAAAGATCTTTTTCGCGCCTATGAATGGTTAATAACTGATATCAAGCCCCATTTAAGCCCACAATGTTTGTATAATATAAGCGGCTTCTACAATATAGAATGGGGCTCTGAGTCACTGATTCCTCTGCAAAGGTGTGATGACCTCTTTAGGCAAAAGTATTATCTGAGTAACACAGTCTTCTGATGACAGGGACAGGGACTCACATGTGGTTGAAAAGGCTCAGGCTGACTCCAAAGAGCATGTGGATGATCCCGAGAATAACAGACATCTTCATCTTGAAGGAGTTAAGGAAGGTCAGTTTATTGGTTGCGATGTTCCAAATCTGTTACAATGTAAGAAAATCAGAAGGTACTATACAAAGAATTCTTAAGTGGAAAAATACTATCCATCTACCTGAAAAAATACCCTTTTTTGCTATGGAAAATTCTAAACAATGTATCCAGACAAAGAGGACACTGAAACAAACTCTGAAGTGCCTATCAGTCAGCTTTGCTCATGTGCACCCATGATCTTGCCTCACTGTGTCGTCTCCCCACTTCCGTATCACTCTGGGGCAAGGCTGAAACAGTAGTCTAGTGTTTTACTTATAAATATTTCAGTATGGCTCTCTAAAATAAGGCTTCTTTGAAAAACATGGCCACAATACAGCCATCATATCATAAAAGTATCAACAATGATATTTTGTGTGTGAGTGCCAGAGTCTGAAGCCAGGGTTTATACATTTTGTGCTGGGGACATAACTTAGTGGTTAGAGTGCTTGCCTAGCGTGCCTGAGACCCTGGGTTTCATCCATACAAATACAGAAAATGAAAAGAAAATATTCTCATACAACACAACCCAAAGAGACACTAATTTGTTACTTATATGTTGAGAAATGATGATAGAAAAACATTATTTGTATCCATAATTATACCACTGTATTTCTATAAAAACAAAAAATCTTGTATGTACATTTTTTTTTTGTTTCTTGTTTTTTTTTTTTTGAGATAGGGTTTCTCTGTACTTTTAGAGCCTGTCCTGAAACTTACTCTGTAAACCTGGCTGGCCTCTCTCTCCCAAGTGGTGGGATTAAAGGCTTGAGCCACCACTTCCCGGCTGTATGTGCATTTTTAAAAAACTCTAACTTTTAACATATCTTATATTAAAAATATTTAAAAACACTTTGAGTGTGTCTATGTGTATGTGTGCACATGGAGGCTAGAGGCCGATGCTGAGCGTCTTCCCTAGTCGCGCCTCACATGGCTTTTTGAGGCAGGGTCTCTCGCTGATCCCAGCATTCACTGATTCGGCTAGAGGCTGGTCAGTGATGCCCCAGGCTCGGCCTGTCTCTGCTCCATAGTGCTGGGGCTACAGGTGCATGCCAACATGCCTGTCTGCCATGTGGGTACTGAGACCTGAACCCATGTCCTCATCACACGCACTTCAGTGACTGAGCATCTCCCCAGCTTCTGTTTTAATTTTTAGTTCGTTTTTAGGGTTTTTGTTTTGTTGTTTTTGTTTCTTTTGGATAGTTTTACTACATAGCCTGAGCTGGTCTCATACTTGGGGTGATCTTACTACAGCAGTCTCCATAGTGCAGGGATTATAAATTATCCCCAACTTAAACCTCTCATTTCAAGATCAGTTAAAAACTTCAAAGCCGAGGCAGGAAGATTAAAAAGTTCAAGTCCTGCTTGAGCTAGAGAAGAGTTCAACGACAGCCTGGTAAGTATGTATCTCAAAATGGAAAAAAAAAAAAGTAAACTGAGGCTGGCATACAGCTCAGGAGGTAGAGCATTTGTCTAGCATGCACGAGGCCTTCAGTTCAATTCTTAGCACTCATAACAAACAAACAAGCACCAACCTTTGGGGAAAGCCACATGTAGGAAAGAGGCACACTTACTGGATCAATGCCAAACGGGTACGGTCCACCAAAAACTCCAGGGATAGCTGGGTTCAGCTGGAGAACAGAGCTTCCCAGAAGCGTCTCATCCCTGTCGGGTTAAAGAAAGTCATTTTTATTTTGGATCAAGGAAAGGAAACTACCAGGTCTAAACACCGAGCACAAAAGGAACTACTACAGTTATCACTGGCGGGGAGATGGCCCAGCAGGGACTGCTCGCCTGCAAGCTTGAGGACTCTGCATCCCCAGAACCTGCATGAAAGCCAGGCAGGTAGAGCGGCCCTTATGGGGGTGGGGAGGTGGAGACAAATACGCTGGCAGGCCTAGCTGGACGGCAGCTCTAGGCTCAGGAGGAGACCAGAAGTCTCACCATGTGAGATGAGTCAGGAAGGGCCAACCGTGGGCCTCCACAAACACACGCATCTCCACACAACTGAGCTCACATACGTAAGTGCAAGAAGAAAGGAGGAATTCGTATCCAAAAACAAGAAGAAATCAAATCCAAAGAAAAGGTAAGCACTAATACATAACTAGGGAGGGAATTTAGGTAACTTGCTTTTAAGTTACAAACAAATAAATAGATTTTACATTAATTTACAGGCTCACATCTTGACACTTGCTGACAAATCATATAGTCTTTCACAGACTGGAACATAAGTGAGAAGAGACAGTGCTCCCTCTGAAACACCTTCTCAAGCTCTCCTAAAGGGGAGTTAGTTTACTGCTCGCTCGACAAGCCAGAGCTGGACATACAAGGAACTAGCTTAGATTTTTGGTTTCTGTAACTTACGTCCAGTTCCCGTCAGTGAACATTGGCCGTACACTCCACGATGACCCAAAGATATTCAGAGACTTGGAAAAACAGTCATTGTAGATGAGACCAGTGTAGATGGAGAATATTCCCATCAGAAGAATAATGTATCGACCGCTGAACACGGTGCTAAACATCTGAAGCCAGAGAGAAGGAGTTATCAGATCCAGTGTTGCGGCGTCCGTTGAGATACTACTACTTATACTATACCAACATGCACCAGTGCCCCCCATCCTGGCTCTGGAAGCTTCAACTAAAGATTAAAATATAAGGCTAAGACGACTGGGGGAGCATCTGGCATGGCAGAGCACTTGCCTGTGAGGCCCAACGGTCAAGCCCCACAACTACAAATGAAATAAGAATGTTAAAATAATTTTTGCATGCATAGCACATGGCCTCTTTAATATTCAAACAACTTTTATTCTTCCCTTTTTGTAAATTCATGGACTTTTAGACCACTACTGTCATCACGAATGCTTGAGATATTACTAAGTTCGATCCAGTGCAGGAGTCCCTGAAACAGTACCTCGTTCTCGTTCTTCTGGGAGAGGATTCGGCTCTCCCTCAACACCATCCATACAGCAAAAAGCGTCATCAAAATGCCGTGCCCGAAATCTCCAAACATCACAGCAAACAGGAAAGGGAAAGTGATGATGGTGTATGGAGCTAGGAGAAAAACGGAGAGAATCATGAGCTACAGAAAAGCATGGGTTCCCACATGCCCCACGCTTGTCTGGACTCTGAGGTGCACGGGAGCGGCTTCTTCCTCCATTCTGGATGAATGGACTCTCAGGGAACGTGGTCACAGCGAGAGCCACGCCCTCACAGAGCAGCTGATGGGTTGTGCTACAGCGAATACTTTACACTATGAAGATGACAGGAAATAGTGGGCCCCAGCACCCTGACAACATTAGCTGGTTGCTGCACTCCCTTCCTCCAGTTCAGGACTCTACTCTGGTTTAGGCCAGCTGTCGCCTCCCTGTGCAGCAACCCTTTCTGAGCTGATAAAGCCCTCAGGCAATAAAGGGAAGCCTGGAACCACAGCAGAGCAGGTCCAATAATGAATGTTCAGATTCTTGAGTGAATAACTGGCTGAATATGGAAGAGACTGGCTGGCCTGCGCCGAAAACAGTTATTATTCTACTTTCTGTCTAGCCTCAGGAAGTCATTCTAGAATGAATATAAGACATCTTAAACAAACAAACAAAAAAAAAAACATTTTGTTTAAGGAGCTCCACCAAAGCCAAGTGATATTTTGTTGCTACTTTGAGAGGCCAGGTATTTTGTAGCTCTGAGGACAGATACAAGAATACAATAAGAAGCTCTTAGAGAAGCATTATTCCGTGACGGATCTGTTTATATCTAATGGGCATGTTTGCAGCAATTGCACACCAGCTGAGATCTGGACATCTCTACAGCCATTGTCCAACGGGATTATTAGCAAGACACAGACCTTTAATCCCAGCACTTGGGAGGCAGAGGCAGGTGGATCTCTCTGAATTCTAGGCCATCCTGATCTACAGAGTGAGTTCAAGGATAGCCAGGGCTACACAAAAGAAATGCTGTCTTGAAAAACAAAAGACAAACAAAAAGAAAAAGAAAGAAAAGAGTGAAATGTTAGCTAAGTGTGGGAGTGCACCACCTTTAATCCTAGCACTATAGGAGGCAGACACAAGCAGATCTTTGTGAGTTGGAAGCCAATCTGGTCTACAAAGCAAGTTCCAGGTCACCCAGAGATATATGATGAGACCTTGTTTCATGTCTCAAAACAAAATAACCAAAAAAAAAAAAAAAAAAAAAAAAAAAAAAAAGATTTAAATTATTTTTAAAAAAATCATAGAATGTTGACATGGTGACAGAATGTTGCTATTTACAACGTTTGTATTAGAGAACTACACAATTAAGCGAACAAAAATATTGCAAAAAAAAAAAAAACCAAAACATTAATTAAGTTTGCGATTTTGTGCTGGCTGTATTCATAGCTATCCTAGGGCATATGAAGCCTATAGGCTGAGGACACCTGCTAGGGAGAAAAAAAAAATCAAATATTCTCACCTGGGTTTATCTCTCGGTAAGTCCCAATCCCATAAGCATCTACTATGTTTTGGAAGCCGTTTGTGAACTTGTTGGTTTTGTTGTACGTTGGGGGAGTCTGGTTTGTCTGCATCCTGTTCAGAATGGAGGGGACAGTAGAACCGCTGTGTTCCTAGGAAACATCAGTAGCATGTCAAAATTAGGCATCCTCCTGGCTATGCAGATACACATATGTATCACAATTCAAACTGCACACCTAAAACTTGTATCTTCTTTTATATAGTTACATTTCAATTAAACGAACAAGAAAGTCAAAATTGTTTTCTATCTCTCTCAGTCTTTGGAAGAACTGGGACTAGATCTAAAACCGACCACAGACGATTTCAGTTAAGTCTTGGTGCCAGGCATAGCCGCATCTGGTGCTCCAGGAAGCAGAAACAAGAGGACTGAAAGTCAAGGCCAGCCTGAACTATACAACACTTGAAAACAGCAGAAAACAAAGCAAACAGACTGGATATTTGCAGGCAAAAATAAATAAATACATACATAAATAAAAAGTGAGCTTCAATTAAGACTTAGAAAGTATATCATTATGGTGAAAAAATATAAACCAGGCGGTGGCATGCTTCAGGAGGCTGAGGAGGAAGGATCACTTAATTCAAAAGTTCAAGACCAAGGCCAGGCAGTGGTTGCACACACCTTTGTTGTTGTTATTGTTTTTATTTTTCGAGACAGGGTTTCTCTGTAGTTTTGGAGCCTGTCCTGGAACTAGCTCTTGTAGACCAGGCTGGGCCTCGAACTCACAGAGATCCACCTGCCTCTGCCTCCTGAATGCTGGGGATTAATGGCGTGCGCCACCACCTGGTGAGATATATTTTTTAAAAGTATGATATTTACAGGATGTGTGTGTGTGGGTGTATGCATGCTATAGCATGCACATGGAGGTTGGAGGACAACTCTGTGAAGTCACTTCTCTCCTTCCTTCTCCATGTGGGTTCCAGGGAACAGACTCAGGTTGCAAGCTTAAAGCATCTTTATACAATAAGTCATCTTGCTGGTCTCATGAACTGATTTCTTGCCCCTTCCCCACAAGACACACTGAGCCTGGAGACCCAGGTTCAAGTCCCTGGGAAAGTTACTTACTTCCATGGCTTTCTGATCCTGGGCTAAAAGATGTTTAAGGTCTCATCCGACCATGATCTTGACTCCATATACTTAAATTTATTGGGAGTTGGGGGCAATTTAATGAGTTTTGGTGACTGTGTGAGTCAAAAGAATGGAACCAGAAATCTGTCTTTTGGATTGTCCTGTTTATAAACTGAGTCCTTTTAAAAATAATTTATTTTTATTTTATGTGCATCGGTGTTTTGCCTGCATGTATGTCTGTGTGAGGGTGTCAGATCTGGGAGCTGCAGACAGTTGTGAGCCTCAGTGTGGGTGTTGGAAATTCAGCCAGTGTTAACTGCTGAGCCATCTCTCTAGGCCCTATAAACAGTTAATCATCATTTGCTGGAGAAAGGAAAACAAAGTACACATGAATGTGAATGTGTGTGTTTTGCATAACTGAAGTGGGACCCAGAGTGATGTTGCCATTTGGTTTAAGAATTAGGGGCTTGGTATCCCAGGATGCCTGGGCCTGGCTGGCCTCACCTACACTGTTTCCACACCCCAGGCCCACGAATGGCTGGAGTAGACAAAGTTGGAGGCAGTTCGAGACAACAACCAGGAGCATTTGCAGGAAATCCTTTAGGACCTAGCGCAGTTGGCGGAGCAGAGCAACACTGCCTGGTATGTACAGATGTATAAGGCCGTGGAAGCGGTGGTGCACACCTTTAATCCACCTGATCTCCGCGAGTTCGAGACCAGCCTGGTCTACAAGAGCTAGTTCCAGGACAGACTCCAAAGCTACAGAGAAACCCTGTCTTGAAAAAAAAAGATGTGTGCCACCACAGCCCAGCTCTGGTCTTGAACTCTTGAATTAAGCGATCCTTCCTCCTCAGCCTCCTAAAGCGTGCCACTGCTTGGCTTAAATTTTTTTTTTTTTTTCACCATAATGATATACTTCCTAAGTCTTAATTGGGGTCAGAGTTCTGGCAGGTGTTGGAAATACTCTATAGTGAGAGTGTGGTGCTGGCTGCGCATCAGCCAACGCTACAGCCACCGAGCTGTCGATGGTAAGAGGCTTTTTTTGCAGCCGTGAAATGCGCCCGAATAAACACAGAAAGACTGACAAGCGAGCTGCTCTCTGACCTTGCACCCCACCCATAAGGTTTGCTGTTTCCTGGAAAATATTTCTCAGAAAAACCCCAATTCTGCCTGGCATGGTGACTCATGCCATCATCCCAGCACCTGGGAGGCAGAGGCAGGGGGATCTCTGAGTTTGAGGCCAGCCTGGGTACAAAGTGAGTTCCAGGACAGCCAGGACTGTTACATAGAGAAACCATGTCTCAAAATAAAAAGAAAGAAAGAAAGAAAGAAAGAAAAGAAAGAAAGAAAAGCATTCAAGACCAGAGAAAGTAAAACATACACTGTCTGCTCTCTTCCCCGCCTCATTCCCTAAGGCCTGCGGTTCAGCTGAGATGCTCATGACATGACTGGCCAGACACCAGCTCTGCCTCTGCCCACCCAGTGGCACCACAGGGCTCCTTCTGAGGGACTCCTTTTCCTCTCTAGGATCTCCTCTGAGGTCTCTGTACCCTCACCCTTACTAACACTCTAATTTCTGCAGCCCCGATGTCTGCTTGCTATTTCCTCATAGATTTCTGTTCAGGGCCTCCGTGTGGTTGCAGCCCAACCTGACATCCTTCCGGTTAAGAAGTTCCTCCTGCTGGGCTCTGATTTCCATGAGTTCTAATCCTCAGGTACATACAGCCTGCTGCCTCATAAATGTTTTTAATTCTTGTTCCTGTGCTTTAATAAAAAACGAGGCTATGTACTCATTTTCCCCTTCAGAGTGTCTCACAGGTTCGCCATCGTTTTTAAGTCCTGCCTGCAGCCCTCATCAACAACAACTCTATGCTCACAGTAGCCTCATGACTGGCCACCCACTCAGGATTTCTCTGCTTTTCATGGTCCACTGGCCACGTTTTCAAACCTTCCTTAATCACAGCTACACAACACACTGCTCTCTAACCTGCCGGAATAAGTTTTAAACCCAGGGACCTTTGAAAAATCACTCATAACCGGGCTTCAATCTATTTAATGAACCGTTAGCTGCTATTCTTGTCAGCTAAACCATTATAAACCCTGTTTGCTTAACACCATGTATGCCCTCCTGCACAGTACTTCCAGCCTTTATCTGTAGCCTTTTCCTTTCGTTTTGTGGGGTCTTGTTTGTTGAGATAAGGGTCTCATGTAGCCCAGGCTGGCCTCAAACTTACTATATAGCCAAACTTACTATATAACCTTGAACTCAAACTTACTTTGAGTAACCTTGAACCTCAAACTTACTATATAACCATGAACTCCGGATCCCCTTGCTATTACTTCCCGAGTGCTGGAATAACAAGGATATGCCACCATATCTGGCTTATGTAGATCTGGAAATTAAACCAGGGCTTTATAGCCAAGAGTATCTGCACACATCTTTAATCCCAGCACTCAAACAGTAGAGGCACGCGTATCTCTGAGTTCAAGGCCAGCCTGGTCTAGAGTTCCAAGACAGCAAGGGCTACACAAAGAAACCTTGTCTTAAAAACAAAAAAAAAAAAAAAACAACACACACACACACACAAACAAAATTATCAGGGCTTCTAGCACACAAGGCAAACTGTCTCCCAGCTCGGCTGCTTCCCTAGTCCTGTTCACACAGTTTTCTGCTTACCTAATCATCGTACCCGTTCAAGTCCCTGGTCACAAGTCACCTTTTCCATTGTTGGCTTATGTTTTTGCAGCTCCGGGGGCTGAACCCAGGGCCTCACACATGCTAAGCAAATGCTCTGCTGTTGAGTGACACCCCTCGTTCCACCAAACTCCATTTTTTTCTTGAAGCTTTTTCTGATCACATTAGTTAGAAAAGCTCCACCCTCCCTCCACACACATCTCCGCTCAGCTCCATTCCAATCCTAATGAATTGCAAGGTGCTTCAGCAGGTACAGCTTGTATACTTCTGTATGTATATATATATATATATATGTATACACACACATATACATATACACTCTCTGGCTTAGGTCAGTGTCTTAGAAAGCGGCTGCTCTAACGACCAAGCAGAATCTGTCAATCAGAGAGTGAGTCAGGAAGCTAATACTCCAGCATGGTCTGTCCTGAGGAGTCATGACCATGACCAAATGCCTTCGCAATACTGAGCTGTAGTTCCTGCCCTGGACAATAATGCCTGTGCTCCAGGCAACAGTCAGAGCATGCTCTCAGGGTATAAGAACACACTAGGAACTCTGAATGCACCGGGTGGTGGTGGTTCATGCCTTTAATTCCAACATTTGTGAATCTCAATGAGTTTGAGACTAGCCTGGTCTACAAAGTAAGTTTCAAGACAGCCAGGTTACACAGAGAAACCCTATCTTGAAAAGAACCAAACCAAACCAACCAAACAAAACAAACAACTCTGAAAACAAAAATGTCATAAGTACAAAGCTGATTAACAGGAGGCTCTTCACCTGCCCACCAGTTCATTTCAGCTGGAGACTCACCGTTCCTCGTCTAAGGGCAAACTGGATGGAGTCAAGGTCAGTGACAGGGCACCAGACCTCTGCAATCAGGCACTTCTGGGTCACATCTATGTTGCACAGGTTCAGGGTATGGTAGATGGCCTTCATCTTCCGCACCTTGATGAACCAGACCCGAATGTTCTTAGCAGCTGCCTGCAGAACCCTCTGGCGGTGGTCCTCTGTTTGATTGAGAACCTTTTGGGAGGAGAGGAAATAGGGGAGGGATCTTTCTAACACAAGTCTTCCGTCATAGGAGAGGGTGGCAAAGTGGCATTGCTTGCTTTCCCTCCCTTCCTTCCTTTCTTTCCAAAACAGGGTTTCTCTGTGTAACAGCCCTGGCTATCCTGGAACCCACTCTGTAGACCAGGCTGGCCTTAAAGTAACAGAGATCCCCCTTCCTCTGCCTCCAGGATTAAAGGCCGGCACCACCATGCTCAGCTATGGCATCACTTTCTAAAAAGGGTTACCAGAGAACAATCTTATTCTTCCCCTAGCAAAATGTATTATTTGGGGGTGTGGGTTTAGGATGGTGGGGGTTCATCAAATTATAAGAAATGTGAGCTCTTACAGTGGTAGTGATGGGACTCAGAGCTTATACAAGCTCTCCAAGGATGCCGCCACTGAATTATGTCTCTAGCTCAAGGAATTTGAGTTTTGGAGCTGAGAACATAGCTCAGTAGTAGAGGAATCTACCCAACATGCAGGCCTTAGGTTCTAGTCCTAGCAGCACCCCCCCCCCAACACACACAAAGGAAGGAAAATGAGTCTCTTAAAGGAGCAACAGTTCAAGCTGGTGGGTCACCCTCAGCGGGGGCTAAAGGGAAAAATGAGAAAGGAATTGAAATGGGAGCCATCACGTATGTGACAATATCACTGCCATAGAGAAAGGCCTTGGGATATGCTATGTAACATTGTAAGGACAGCAAACAACTACTGGACTCTTTCTTTGAAAAAGTAAGACGTTCCCCTGGCTGCCTTCTCCTTCCAAAGACTCACACCATGACTCTACTCTCAGAGCCCTGCTAGGACCACGGTGTGCATGACTTTCGCACTGTAAATTGGTAAAAATCGAACGAACAGTCTCTCTCTGGGTTCAAGAGTCAACTCTGGGCTCTTTGGCTGGCCCATGTGGTTAAGATCAAAGGTAACCGGAAGCTGTATCATGCTGTTAAAAGGGGCTGCCAGGAGAGTGTGTGAGGGAAAAACTGACTCTACACATACTTCTGGACTGTTTGCGTTTTCCTTTTCTTAACTCAGCATACTTAAGGAAAAGGAATTATTGCAGAAAACAACACAACAAACATCTCAGAGTCATGCAGCAGAAGGGAAAGGGTTGCTCTCAGGCAGTAAGGGTTCCAGACACACAGCATTCCTTTCTTGCTGGAGGATGACCAACGCTATTTTTAAGAGTCCTACCCTGAGACTTTTGCCAGTTCCCAGGGGGACTTACTACCCACACACTCTTCTTTTTTTGGTATGCTCAACTGCTTTAGGTGCTTTAACAGACTGTCAAGGACTCAGGGGAGCAAAGTGGTTCACTACTGCCGTAGTTCACAGAGTCAAATTCCCAGGGCCCCCTTGTACCATCTGGAGATCATCGATCCTGGTATTGACTCCAGAAGCCATTTCTTTCCTCTCCTGTGGAGTCTCAGGACAGGGATAGAGAGAGGCTCGGAACCTGGAAGAGACGGGAACAGCCTCAGGAACACTGAAATTTCTTAGTATAGTCTATCTACATCACCTCGGAAGGTAATGCCAACTTAGTAGGAATACGTCAGTAGGACCAAACGCAATTAGGTCAGGCTGCTGTGTCAATCAACACTAACACTTATGTGCAGCAGCCCACAGAGAGCAACAGCACTGCACAGTCGTGACATTCTCTGTAGCTATGAAATCATTTTGAGATTTAAAAAAAATAATAAAAATAATAATAAGGTACTAGAGAGATTGCTCTGTAGTTTTGAGCACCTGTTTCTCTTTCATAGGCCCCAGGTTCAGTTCCCAGCACTTGTGTGGTGGGTCACACTGCCTGTAATTCAGTTCTAGGGGATCCAACACTCTCTTGTAGTACTTTCTTAAACTCTGGGTATATTCCAAGGGCACCAGGCATGCACGTGTGCATATACATACATACAGGCAAAACACTCAAAAACACAAAATAAATAAATCTTTAGCCAAAAATTTTGAAAAAATAATTTTAAAACTATTTTTATTATAAGTTATTAGAGAAATATGACATGGTGAAATTTCTATCCATAACACAATCCCATAGAGTTTATATAGTGCCTATGGCACTCAGCTTGCGGGATGTACACCCACTGTCCCTGAATAATGAAACTGTGAGTCTGGCTGGTTTCTTTGGGTGAAGGTATGAGTATATATGTGTGGTGTGTGTGTGTGCATATATGTATGTGTGTGTGCATGTCTTGGAGATCCAAGGTCGACACCAGGAGTCTTCCTGATTTCTCTCCACCTTAGTCATTTAGGCAGAGTCTCTCCTGACTCCAGCGTACACCCACGCAGTGAGCCTAACTAGCAGAGGGCTCCAGGGATACTGTCTTGGTTTCTGAATGTTGGGGTTACAGGTGGCTGCCACGCTCACTTGGCACTTATGTAGGTTCTGGGGATCTAAACTCCACCCCTCAATGCTTGAGGAGTCAGCACTTTATCCTCTGAACTAGCTCCCCAACCCCCAAGCTGTGGTTCTGATACTCAGAAAAGAAAGGAAGAAAAACTGGAGCTACTTCTGATGGTTTAAAGCATTCCCAACATCAGTTAGCAGCGCACTCAGCGTGCAAAGCAGAACGAGGATCTACGCGGCTCTTTTCTGAGCCGTAAGCAGGTAGCACAGCTGCGCCTCTTGGATGGAGGCAGGCATGTGTTCTTACCCTTCGCAGATTTTCTTGACCCTGTTTTTCAGCTGATCGCCTTGGAAAAAAATGATGAATACAGACTTGTGCACGTGGTCGCCCTAGGCCCCAGGAGAAAAACCAAGAGTTCAGAACTCTCAATATAGATGAGAACTTCCTTTAAGACAGTCTTACGCTGCAGCCCAGGCTAGCCTGGTCTTGACTGTGTGGCCTAGATTGGCTTCGAACTCCTAGCAGTCCTAGCCCCAGGCTCCTGAATGTTGGACATACAGGTCTAGCTGAAAAGTTCAAGAACAACTAAACCTGGATGGCACCAGAAGGATTCCTTTAAGAACACGGCCTTCTGTACTTTATCCCTACTCCCGCTCCTATGCTTCATTGAGAATATCTGCCCTATAACCACAGATCCACAAACATCTTCCTGTTTTCGGACACAACCGGAAGCCTGACAGAAGCTGAGGGGCTGCTCAGCACAGTGCAGCTTGTTTCTCCGGTTCTACTTGGACTCTTGTATTTCCAGGACGACAAAAGTACAGAGGAGAGGAGACAGAAGGAAGCCTGTCTGTTCCTGGGCACAGAGAGAAACAGATAAAGAGTTGGCTGGACACAAGGAACTAAATCACTAGCAAGAACAGCGTGTTGAATCTTGAGAATCACACAAATTTAGACTATATGCAACAAGGAACAATACCAAGCTCACACCTCTGAGTACAAGGACAGCAAGAAAAAAAAATCAGAAAAAAATATGCTTATGAGCTATTAGCCAAGATGCCTTAGGCTGCCTATAATGTCTCACATACAGAGTGTATTCTGCTCTTATAGAAGAAAACAACTTCAGAAGGACAAAGAGGGAAGAAAGCTGGATTCAAGATCCCTAAGTCTCCTGGCTAAATAAACTGGGCCCACTCTTGGTGCAGCTGTTCTGCTGGAGATACCATGTTCTGCTTTCCTGGATTTGTTGATAAAATAATCTTCCTGCTATGGAGAGCTCTGCTGGAGATACCATGTTCTGCTTTCCTGGATTTGTTGATAAAATAATCTTCCTGCTATGGAGAGGAAACTTGACCGGACACCCCGGAGAAGGGCTCCATGACTACAGGTTACAATGTTTCCACAACCCAAGCAGCCTGAGAAAACCGCACCCTGGGTTAAAGCATTCACAATGTCACCATGTCTCTATTCAGTGAGGGGTAAAAGCCACAGGGTGCTACCCGCCAAAGCTAAGAAAAGTCCAAGTTAAATTTCTTTTAGGGGGGGGCTGGAGAGATGGCTCAGTGGTTAAGAGCATTGCCTGCTCTTCCAAAGGTCCTGAGTTCAATTCCCGGCAACCACATGGTGGCTCACAAACCATCTGTAATGAGGTCTGGTGCCCGCTTCTGGCATGCAGACACACACACAGACAGAATATTGTATACATAATAAATAAAATAAATAAATAAATAAATATTTAAAAAAAATTCTTTTAGGACAAAAACTAGCACACTAAGACATTTATAAGGTAAGCTAACTGCAGGCTTCTAAATACTAAGGTGAGAGTAACACGCTGTCTCAGTGACACACCCAGCCTTTGCTGAGACCCCTGAGATCAGGACCCCACCTCATGCAGATGTTGCCATGAACTTTGTCTCGCTGAGTCAAATGCCAAAACATTGGACTAGTGCTACTTTTTCCAAGAGCTGGGTGGGCAAGATCACCCTCACCTGGCATGTATCTAGGCTAAATTAAGTTTCTAATCTTCCCAATATACAGGCAGACAATAGAATCTTGCCAAGAGAAGGTTTCATCAGCTTATAAAGATTAAGGTTTAGGAAGTCTATCTTTTTATACATGATACTGCCAAATTTGCAACGACGTATCTTGATTTTATGTTAGTTTCCATAAAAGGCTATTTTTCTTTCAGCCCAGATTAGTAACAAGAAATATATAAAACTAAAATTAAGAATAATTGAGGAGGAAAATGTGCCAAAAAAAACCTTCATGGGTAAAGTCTGAAAATATGTGCATGTCATGTCTGCACGGAGGAAGATGTCTACATGGAGGGAGAGGTTAGAGAAAGGGGAGTGAGCCTTGAGTCTCTGCTCCTGCTTGGGCTCACTTTACAAGACCTACTCCACCAGACACAATTTCCTTGTCTTACAGTCACGGGATCCTCCAGCGGGTTCTCGATTTCAGCCTGTCTCAGGAACACATTCCCGCGGCACACTCGCCAAAGCATGCGTTCAAAGGTAGGGATCCGCTCCCTGTTAATCACACCAGCCACGAAGCTGTGAGGAGAAGAGTCAGGTTGGGAACTCCAGGCTTAAGAGAAAGCAGGAGCGAGGGAGGGAATGTGGAGGATTATACACTGCACATGGTGTCAAGAGGGCTGGCGGCCACTCTCTAGACCTCATTTCTGGACCCAACAGAGAGGGTTGAGAGACAAACCAGGAACTGATCCACACAAATCTAGGAACAGCTCAATGGCTCAGAACAAAGTGGCTTCCGACAGCAAATTAGTCCCTAGATCCACGATTCCCCACGCCCCCCAACCCAAGATAAAACCCAGGGTCTTGACACGTCAGGCAAGTATTCTACCACTGGACCTGTCTCCAGCCCATGGTTTAAGACAGGCCCTCACTCTGTGGCCCAGTTTGCCATCAAAGGTATGTTCTTTCTGCTTTTGCCTCCTGAAGGTAGTTTATATATATGTACCACTATATTTGGAGCCACTCGCTGCTCATCTGAACAGCAAAGAGGAACACAACCCCACCAAGGCTGAAGCGCTACCTACCCAAGTCTTAAAGGAGTGCCTCTTCCCATCTCGTTTGGCTCCAAGAGTGACGAGGATTCTTCCAACAGGTCTGGATCCGCCATCTGCTGATGATGCAATTCAGCCTGAATTCACAAATCAATTAATATCTAATGAAAATAGTTAGTGGCATGCAGGGAAGGAGGAACCAGGAGATGGGTTCAGAAAATAAAGACGAGAAGAAAAAAGAAAAGGAGGAAAAACAAAACAAACCCAAAACACCAAAAGATAGAGCATACATATCCACAAAGAAAAGAGAGAGTAATAAAGAGAGAAAACAAAGGAATACACACGAGCTAAAGAAAGCAAAACGTCCCCAGAAGAGCATCTGGGGAGATGGTTTCAGAACTAAGGAGCGGAAGGAAACATACATGGAGTGCTGGTGACATGTATAAGCCTGCTACTTGGTGGAAGCCATTTTCCTTTCATGCTTTCCTAAATAAACCTGTGCAGGAGGCAGATGAGCTCTCCTCTTTGAGAGAAAAAAAAAAAAAAAAAAACAAAAACAAAACCCCAAACAGCTCTGCAGATATCGTGACTTCATTTCTAGAGAGTCACCAAGAAGAGGCTTCTGTGCTAGCACATGGGAGGTAGGACGTTATTTCAAGTAAGTGACCTGAGCTGGAAAGGGCACCTCCAGCCTTTGGTAAATCCAAAACAGGAGTGCTGTCAGCATGGCCACACATAAAACACCCCAACATAGGATTTAAAGAGTTTCTTCATAAGGATAAGGAGTGCAGCAACGTGGTGGTGCACACCTTTAATCCCAGCACTCAGGAGACAGAAGCAGGCAGATCTCTGTGAGTTTGAGGTCAGCCTGGTCTACTGAATTCCAGGACGGCCAGGTCGACACAGAGAATCCCTGTCCTGGGGGGAAAACCAAACCAAACAAACAAACAAAAAACAACAACAAAAAAAGCCAGGTGATGGTGCACACCTTTAATCCCAGCACTCAGGGAGGCAGAGGCAGGTGGATCTCTGTGAGTTCAAGACCAGCCTGGTCTACAATGCAAGTTCCAGGACTCCAGGACAACCAGAGATACACAGAAAAAAAAAAAAAAAACAAAAAACAACCCTGTCTCAGAAAAAAAAAAAAAAAAAGAAGAAGAGGAAGAAGGAACACAGAAGCTGGACAGGCCTGGTCCTCTGTTGCATTCATAAAGGCAAAAAAAAAAAAAAAAAAAAGTGAAAACATCCAATAAACATTTTATAAAGTATTTTCTGAATAGGAATCTAGGAATCCTGATCCTGAAAAGTCTGTGTAGACTTTATAGCAGAGAATAAGAATTAAGTAAATAACAGGCCACAGCTAAAAAATCTAGAGCTCCTGGCCTTGCTGAATTGGTTGGATTTAAAATGACTTCCACTAGGACAGTTTATACAATGAAATGAGGGCAAAGGATTCACAGAGTCTGGTGCCCCTCACCTCTCTCCCTTTACCACCTGGTCTCACCAGACGGAGAAGCGGCCCTAAAAACGTGAACTCCGATCAGCCTAATCTACCAGACCTAACATCCGCACACTATGTGTTTGACCAGAGACTAGAACAAGCCAGAACAACCTTCCTGTTCAAAAGCAAAACGAAAACACCAGGAGAAATTCCCTTCCGTTTCACTCCAAATTTCAATTTCACCTTAATCCTGGCCCTTGAACTACGAGGGGACAAAGGCACACGTTTAACTTAATGGTGAAGTCATGGACCATACATGTAACGGACAGTGCAAACAGTGCAAACCAGAACACTCTGCAGGGCCAAAGGTGACGGCAACTGTTCTGGGAGGTCAGGGCCAGGGCTGTTTTTTGTTTTGTTTTTAAAAATCACACAGGGCAGAGAAATATTGTCATGTGATTAGAAACATCTAAGATGAGATAACAGGGACACTGGCTGCTACTTGCCGCCACACGGGTGGAAAAGGATTCTTTTTTTCAACCTAGAAACAAATCAGCCAGCTGAAAGCGATTCGATATTCAAATTACTACATTCCAATGGTTCTTGGGGTGCCCACTGGCAAAATGAATAAAATTGATTGTTCCCCCACAAAACTCTCCTACTGCTTTATGTGGTTCTCAGAACCTGGCTCGTTCTCAAGCCATAAACACGAGTCAATGCGGGCATGTGTGCTCTTAAAGGGACAGCTGGCAAGTACGGTGAACTGTTCTTAGACTGGACTGCTCCAAAGATCAGATCTGGGGCTGTTTAAAGAAAACAGCAACATTAAAGTGAAACAGAAAGATCAAATTCTAAATACTAATTTCACCACTTTATACTTAAGAACACCAAATCTTCAATAGGAAAGTCAAGATATTATAAACAAAATTGTGTCTGATGGGAAACTATGGTGACCAGGACTAAGGGACTTTACAAAAACCCGATCACGGAGATCACAGCTCTTTCTCTGTTTTCTTAAGATTTATTTATTTTATGTGCATTGGTGTTTTGCCTGCATGTGTGTCTGTGCGAGGGTGTCAGATCACCAGAATTGGAGTTACAGACAGCTGTGAGCTGCCATGTAGGTGCTAGGAATTGAACCTAGATCCTCTAGAAGAATAACTAGCCCTCTTAACCACTGAGCCATCTCTCCAGCCCAAGACCACACTTCTCTATTGACAATAATACTGCCAAGCTCTCTAAATCACCTGCTATTTCCTCCGAGTTGCACCTTTCCCTGTTTAGAACACAGAAAGCCACACCTTACAAAGAACAAATTGCTGAACGGAACTTCAGCTGTCTGCAGCATTTCAATATGAGCGGCACGTCCAGTCAAGCTACACTAGCTCCTAAGAACACTTTGACTGTCTAGCTACGGCGAGAAAGAAATGACATCACTACTGAGGTGTTCACCCAGAGAAAATGGCAGATGGAAAAAGGAAGAGAAAGAAAGCAGATGGGTGAAAAACGCAGAGAGGAGGGGAAGGGAGGGGAGGGGAGCTGCATGCCATTAACCATTACTTTCCCAGTCTTCTTTATGCTCTCATGTGCTAGGATGCTTATGGTAAAAGATGCAGAGAAACCTCTCCAGCTCTTACGCTCTTCATAAGCAAGAAGACTAGAAAAGGATAATCATTAATAAATCATTTTAAACGCTCTGGGTAAGAAATGGCTACGTTGAATTGACAATCATCTTAAATCATAAGAATATTCAGTACATGTTTACTCTTCCCTTTCTACACACCCTGCCAATTATTATCACCAACAAAGAAACGGCATTTTCTGATTTGGTCATTTTTGGCTGATTACCATGAGGTATTGATTTATTCACCAAATTATCAGGAAAGAGGAGAGGTTTGAGATTGGCAGTGTTTGCTGCCATTTCAAACGTTACAATTTCAAACACGAAGAGAAATCTCCTGATGAGCTGAATTTCCGACACCTGAGGTCCCAGGTTGGCTCACCTTTCTGTGTTGCTTACATGTGTGCCTGCACGCCCAGTGCGCTCACTCAGAGAGGCTGCTCAGGGCAGCAGCATCTGCAATCACTACTTGGCAGAGGGCAAGGTCTATGGAAAGGGACCTGGCTGAGACTGCGGCGAGGATGTGCCAGGTGCTGACTGCAGTGGTGAGGAAAAGCACAGTGGTTCTGGCCAGGGGACTGTGCACTGCTGTGTCGTGCTTGGGATGCAGGGAGACTGATGGAAAGAGCAGTGGAGGAGCTCTCACAGCCAGGCCTATGTTCAGAGCGGCTGGGAGAGAGGGGCTGGGTAGCTAGGCATAAGAAAGAGACAAACCCACTGTGGACAGGGCATGAAGGTCAGAAAGACTTGGAGTCTCTTCTCAAGACTAGCACTTAACGTTTAGATTTAATAAACATAAAACAAAAATAAAATTCCATTTACATTCTTTCCTTTCTGTTTTTTGAGACACAGTCTTACATAGCTCAGTGGAACTCAGTGAACTCAAACCCTCTGTGGACCTGAGGCTTGCCTTGAATTCCTGGTCTTCTTGCCTCCATCTCTCAAACGCTGGGATTGTATGCATGCATCATGCCCAACTCCTAATGTACAATTTTGAAGTAATAAATCATCTTTATAAATGGTTCATCTTATTTCTACTGGAATGGACTTTTTTTGGGGGGGGGGAGGTTAGGCAGGGGAGCGTTTCACTATATAGCTTAGGTTGGCCTTGAGTTGGCAATCAGAAAAATCTCAAATTCAAGGCTGGCCTAGGCTATCTATTGAGATCTTGTCCCCACATAATGGCAGTATAAATGGTAAAAGACGCTCCAAATGAATCTAAAAGTAGCTGAGCTTGGACTGTGAGGCCGGGCAGGACACACTAGGGCACTCGGACACATTTAGGAAAGTACCAGTCTGTGAACAGGTCTACAATCGGGTTTCCTGATCTAACCCAACGACTCACAACCTGTACCTCAGAAGCAGTAAGTGCTCACCCCAGGCTCAAGGAATTAACAGCTAGGAACGCACTGAGATGCGTCCAGGCAGTGAGCACCGGGAATCTCACATCAGTGGGATTCTGTGGCATAAGTGGCTTTGCCTGTGGCTAGGATCCTAAGCACTTACAGAAAGGTGACCTCATTGTCTCACGCCCTCTAAAGTGATCAGGCTCAAAAGTCTCAACTTGGGGAGCAAACAAATATTCACAGGGAATTTCTATTATTTTATAACCAGATTCGTACTCATGGGAAGACTAGGTAGTTAAATTCACACGGGCTTTTCTCATGTCCTTGTCTCCACAGACTCTTTGAATTAGCATGACTTGTCTGAATCAAATCCATAGTTACTGAGAAATGTATCACTTCCTTAGCAGATTTTTTTCTCTAGACCGTGGCTTTCAAAGAAGCATGCCTGAGTTAAAACACATTAAAATAGCTGGCTGGGCCCGCCCCCAGGGTTCCCAGCTCAGAAGGTCTGCTCTGCGGTGGGAGCTGATCATTTATATTTCTCTCAAGGTTCCAGATGAGGCTGTTGATACTAGTTGGGAACCTTGACAAGCATGGAGGACTGGTCTCTTCTTGAGCAATGCAGAGTTAAAGTAAAACTGAGAACGTAGCAGATACTAACTGAGATAGATTCTTTATAGCTAAATATCTTTTTTTTTTTTTTTCGAGACAGGGTTTCTTTCTCTGTGTAACAGCCCTGACTGTCTTGGAATTTGCTTCGTAGACCAGGCTGACCTCAAAGTCACAAAGATCTGCCTGCCTCTGCCTCCCCAGTGCTGGAATTTAAGGCGTGCACCACCACTGCCCGGCTACATCTAAAATCTCTGTCAAGATTTTTGTCAAGCAAAGGAAATCAACTTTGTGGGTGGAACACAGTAAAAGTAACTAGCATGATGTCTGAAGTGTCTAATGTTAGGTTGAGAAAGACACCCCTCAAAAAGAACACTACCAATATTTTAGGCCATCAGGAAAAGCACACGCAGGTTGGACGCGAATGATCCTCCCTAGGGTTAATTAGGAGAAGAAAGTATTCTACAAACCTGAGCTAACTCCTTTCAAAGGGAGTCTCCCTGGCAAACTGTCATTGTGCAATTCAGTACCTTTATGTTTAACCAGGGAAAACTTGGCAATGTTTTTCCTTATAAGTAATAAACTGTGTCTGTGGGAAAATTCAAACTAGCATCAAACCAATACTTCCGTAGGACACAGAGAAACTCAGGACAACCGGTGTGACTTGAGATCTAAGGGCCGAGAAGAATCCCCAAGGTGGGCGAACAGGAATCTGATGAGCAAAGGTCTGGAGTTGGGAACTTCACCGTAATTCTGCGCACAACCAGACGCCTGTTTCCTCAACTTCATATGTATTATACTTACCTTGTAACACACACCTAGAAGTGTCACAGAGACATCTCAACTCACTGCACTTATGTGTCAACTTTAAATTCCCCCCCCCCCCCCCCGCTGTGAGATGGAAGTTTGCAGAGGACGTGAAAATACGTGGTGCCATGGCTGGCTGTGTGCTCCATGGAAAATGGAACGCACCCTGACATTCGCTAACTGAAACGGTGCAAAAGCGGCATTGCTTCCAGACTAGCAAATTAAAATAATTATTGGAATAAAAATATGGCCCACTTGTGCAGGTGTACCAGCTGCTCAAGTACTAGAAGAAACAATAGTCTGACCTCATCAAAAAACTGCTGAGTTTTGCGAAGTATAAATTTTAATTCAGTCAGTTCCAGGAAGTTTCTCTTCAGGGCTTCCTGGTTGGTGTTGATTTCCTTCAGTTCATTTTCAATCTTCTCGAAGTTGGCCTAGGGTTTAAAAAAGAAAGCTGTTAATTCAAACTAAGCTCCCTGTGCTTGCTCTAAAGGACATTAACAGAATTAGCACCGCAAAACTGTTGCCATGGTAACCTGTCAGCTACAGCTGTGAAGCAAATGCTGTGATTTTTAAGAGCAACTTTAAGTGAGACAGCACTTATGTGGGCCTTTGTTTGTCTACACATCCCACCGCACACTCTCAGTGAGTTTCCTGAGAGAAGTCAGACACTCAAAATATCCAAAGCTCACTGGCTATTCATTTAGTGTGTGAGGGTCATCGGCTAACAAGGGACCAGTAACCCGATAAGCATTAATCTGTTGGCATATTATAATATGTTATCTCTGTGTGAGATACTGTTTGAAATTATAAAGGAGAGAATTCACTTCAGTCCCACCTAGAAAACATTTACAATGAAAGACAATACACAAGGTTGGTAAGAATTCCTCTACGCCAACCACTCAGGAAGGCAATCCCTGCATTTACGTGGAGAGCCAGCTGAGAACTGTTTACCTCTAAGTCGATCATGTCCCGGGGGAAGGGCACCTCTGGGTTTTCACCAGTGTCCAGAATTGGGATGTCTGCTTTCCTTATCTCTTTCTCGACAAATCCTAGAACATAGAGTCAGAGTGCTCACTTGTAGGGTTATGCCTGGAATTCTCATTATTTGAGAAAACACACATACATGCATGTGCACGCGCACAGACACACACACCCCTAACGCCTGGTGAAAAAGAGCTTCATCCTAGGAAGAACTGACAAACGAAAGAACCTTTTCTCTCCACACATTCCTTTCCTGTACTCTGCACTCTGGAAAGCTGTCCCAGGGAGAGTGGTCAAGCCCAGGACTGCTTCCTTTCTCTCTCCTGGCCTTTGCTGTTGTTCTGAGAATGACCTTGAACTACAGGCACAAGCAGGTGTGCCTTTCTCTGAGGTTAAAATTGGCTTGCAGCCACTTCACCTCTCCACCCTGTGTGCCCTGCTTTCTCCAGGTACGACGGCTCTCTGTGGGTATTATTGGCTAATCCAAGCTTCAGAAGAACACAGCATCTACAGGGCATCTGACACATGACATGAGCAAGATAATTCTAAGTCAGGAAGAATCATTTAATTTGAAACAATTAGGCCATTTTTTTTAAATACCAAAAGTCAAAAATTAAGCATAAAAGGGCCCAAAACACCAAAAGAGAAGAGTGTTTTCATGACAACTACCAGCCTTTTTTTTTTTTTTTTTTTAATTTAGAATACAACACAATTTATCTATGGGCTTGGTAGAGTGGCAAGATCATGGATGGAGCCAAACAGAATGGCCTAGTTTCAAATGCTGGCTCCATTATGAGCTTATATTCTTGGGTATGTCAAGGAAGTCACAGATGTCTTAACCCTTAACGAGAGCAACGCCTATCTTTTTTTATTTTGACAGTGTCTATATTCTCGGGCATGTCAAGGAAGTCACAGGTGTCTTAGCCCTTAACGAGAGCAACACCTATCTTTTTATTTATTTTGACAGTGTCTGTATTCTCGGGTATGTCAAGGAAGTCACAGGTGTCTTAGCCCTTAACGAGCAACGCCTATCTTTTTATTTATCTTGAAGACCAAGCTGGTGTGAACTCACAGGAACTGTCTGCCTCTAAGTGCTGGGATTAAAGTGCAGCTCCCACTTCTCAAAGGCGTATTGCAGGGAATGAATACAGGCTTTTTTTTAAATTTATTTATTATGTACATAGTGTTCTGGGCACCAGATCTCATTATAGATGGGTGTGAGCCACCATGTGGTTGCTGGGAATTGAACTCAGGACCTCCGGAACAACAGTCAGTTTTCTTAACCTCTGAGCCATCTCTCCAACCCCCATGAATACATGGTTTTAATCACTCATTAGCACCCTAGCCTTCGGTAAAGCCTCAGTGAATGTTCCATTTTTCATAAAGTGCTCTGATGAAAAGGTGACTCAGCTAACTCTAAATCTGATAGTATTCTAGCTTTTAAAGTTCTATAGCATGGTTCTGCTGTTACAAATCCGCGAGAATCTAAGCACAGTGGCTTTATACGGTCCTCCAAAAGCCACAGCAGGAGGATCACTACACAGAGTTCCAGGTTGGCCTAAGCTACAAAAAAAAGCCTAACAAAAAAAAATAATCACAGTGTTTTCAGCTTGTCTTTGAACAAGATTTCCCTTAAGCACTACCTAGCTTAAACACCATAAAGTCTATTTATATACAAGAAGTTCATCTTAATGTCATGGTTGCAGATTTTTTTTCCTTCTCTTTTTTCAAATCTTTTAACCAGTTTACTTTGTATATGTGCATGTGTGTGCATACATGAGGGTAGCTGTTCATGTGGAGGTCAGAGGACAACTTTTGGGAGCAGTTCCCGCCTTCCACCCTGCTCCTTGCGTCTGCTGCCCATGTACTCTGGGTAGCTGTTCATGTGGAGGTCAGAGGACAACTTTTGGGAGCAGTTCCCGCCTTCCACCCTGCTCCTTGTGTCTGCTGCCCATGTACTCTGGGTAGCTGGCCTCCCACCTCACTGTAGGAATGCTGAGGTTTCGGATGTTCACCACATCTGGTTCTGGTTGTTTATTTACTGTTGCGTATTGAAAACACTGCACAGGAACAACAGGTTGGAGAGTACCTAGAATCCCAAGGGCAGCCACATCTGGCTTTTTGCACAGGTTCTGGGGACTGCACTCCGATCTTCAGGCACGCTTGGCAAGTGCTTTCACCTGCTGAGCACCTCCTGGCCTCTTCCCTTGTCCTACTGTACAGCTTTATTCCTTAGCCGAGAGGACTAGTGACCCTAATTTAAGACAATGATTCACAATAGGAATGTCACACAGGACCAAACTGTACATACGAAGCTTTCGATCCATTTCTTCACATCTTCTAACTTCATTCACAAATTTCCTCTGGAAAACATTCACATCTGGATTTAACTGAAAAACAAGAACATAATAGCAGACTTCAAACACCGAGTCTACCTCCTGTTTTATAAGCGACACATCCCAGAAATGGAACCTTAATTTTGTGCCAGTGTATAATGCAATTCTAGTCAAAACTGTCTACCGATCCAGCTGCACAAGCTGAAGCTAAAAGCCTCATTGCTGCTGCAACGCACATCTGGGATGGAGAGGAATCAGCCAAAGTGATGAGTGCCCTTCCTTTCCACCACCTGGATCTTAGGCAGCCAGGTCACAGGTGCTCACCTTCTGGGGACAGTCTGACTTTATTCATCCACAAAAGCCATACCACAAGGAGTATCTCCTTACACCTGTTAGAACGACTTTCATGAGAAAAATGGGAGCCAGGCTTGGTGGTTCACACAGTGATCCCAACTCTATAGAAGCAGGGATTAGAAGTTCAAAGTCAGCCTGGAGAGCAAGGCAAGTTATAGGCCAGCCTGGGCTCCCTAGCAAGCCCTTGTCTGAAAAGAGGAGAGGTATGAACTAAAATGAGGATGTCGACAGAAGAGAACTCTGTGCATTGTTGACAGGAATATAGAATTATACTGTCATATGAAAAACAGTAGTTCCTGGGGGTGGGGGAGAAACAAAAATTCTTTACAAAAAAACTACCAAGAGATGGGGATGTAGCTGACTGGTAAACTACTTTACCCATCATGCACAGACACCTCGGTGCAGTCCCGGCATGGAGCAGGTAGGACTGCCATACAGTCCAGAAATCCCACTTCTAGGTACACAGAGGAACTGAAATCAGTAACTAACATATAGAATCAACCTACCAAGGAATGTATGGACAACATGGGATGAGACACAAAGTGAACACACCAGGCACACTGCATCTGACCTACATGTACAGTTTCATTTTACTATTTATTAACATTTTTTCCTTTAAGATTTTTGTGAGTATAGATGGGTGATGTGTCTACATGTATGTCTGTGCACCTCGGAGGCCAAGAGGATGCCAGATCCCCTGGAACCTGAATTATGGTTGTGAGCTGCCATGTGGGTGCTGAGAGTCAAACCCAGGCCCTCTGGAAGAGCCGTCGGTGATCTTAACCTCGGAACCATCGCTCCAGTCCTCTACATGTAGAATCTTAGAGAGTTGAATTACAGAAGTATTGAGATAGCTACCAAATGGCTACCAGAGAGGGAGACAGAAAGGAGGGGTGGCAGGTAGAAGATATAGGTCAAAGTGCACAGATTTCCAGCTAGAAGGGGGTAGGGAGGAAATGGCAACTTGATGAGACAGTAGAGTTTGAGCTACATCCTTCCACATTCACCTACTCTGTGTGTATCTGAATGTGTATTCACATGGGTGGGTGCACCCTTGCCACAGTGCACATGTGGATGGGAGAGGATTAGCTGCAGGAGTTGACCTCTCCTTCCACATGTGGGTTCCAGGGATCAAACTCACATTATCAGTCTTGACAAGAACTGCCTCTTTACCTTCTGAGTCATCTTTCTGACTCCAGGAATACTTATTCATTCTCTCTCTCTCTCTCTCTCTCTCTCTCTCTCTCTCTCTCTGTGTGTGTGTGTGTGTGTGTGTGTGTGTTTGCACATGTGTGTAGGTACCCCTCAGACATCACAGAGATATGATGATCTGATTTCATATAACTGGAGCGATATGAAACTGAGAACCAAACTTGGCTCTTCTGGAAGAACAGCGAGTGTTTTAACTACTGAATCATCTCTCTAGTCCAGGAGTAAAATATTCAACTATTGCAGGGTAGGCAAGACAGCTCAGGTGTAAGGGAGCTTGCCTGGAGACAGTGCAAGCCTGGTGACCTGAGTTCATCCCTTAGAATCTACATAAAGCTAGAAGGATAACATCAGCTCCAAAAAGCTGTCCACCACCACACCACCGCCAATAATAATAATAATAATAATAATAATAATAATAATAATAATGATAATAAAAAAACTTTATTTATAATAAATAATAAATAAAAACAAGCCAGGCAATGGTGTGGGCGCATGCCTTTAATCCCAGCACTTTGTAGGCAGAAGTAGGTGGGTCGTTAGGAGTTTGAGGCCAGCCTGGTGTATAGAGTGAGTTTCAGGTCAGGCTCCAAAGCTACAGAGAAACCCTGTCTCAAAAAACCAAAACCAACCAAACAAAAATCTCAAAACACAAAAACTTAAAAGCAAGCTGGGCAATGGTGGTGCACACCTCTAATTCCAGCACTCAGGAGGCAGAGGCAGGTAGCTCTCTGTGAATTCAAAGCCAGTCTGGTCTACAGAGAGTTTCAAGACAGCCAAGGCTACACAGAGAAACCCTGTCTCAAAACAATAACAACAAAAGAAACCAGCAAAACCAACACAAAACTTAAAACAAAAACTGATGTACAAGCCAGGTAGTTAACTATAATCCTAGGACTTGGGAAGTAGCAGTGGGAGAACTAGGGGTTTAATGCTATCCTCAGCGCCATCAGAAACTAGTCATCATCTTGAGCTACGGAAGACTGTCTCAAACAACTAACAAAGCTGGACTTGGTACAGGCCTCATAATCCCAGCTATTCATGAGCTGAAATAGGATTCTAGGTACAAAGCCAGTCAGGGCTACGTGTAAATTTAGGGCCAGTATGGACAATTTAGTAAGACTGTGTCTCAAAATAAAAAGGGCTGGGAATGTAGCTCATAGGCAAAGCACTTACCTAGTACACAAGAGGACCTAGGTTCAATTTCCAGCACCAATAATAAATACATACATAAATAAACTCATATATGAGGGAATAGATGAATGGTATGGTAGTACCTTTCTCTAAAGTAGTAATAGGAGCTGGAGATCCACACTGGGATGTGGGTGCTGGAAATTTAACTCAGGTCCGCAAAGAGCAGGAAGTACTCTTAACCTCTCTCTTGCCTGGTAGTTGGAATTTTTAAGACAAAGTCTAATATACAGCCAAGATAGACTTGGACTTACTACGCAGTTAAGGATGACCTTGAACTCCTGTTTCTCCCAAGTGCTAGGATTATAGGAGTGTACCAGCCTGTCCCACTCAGTCACAGCAGTTAAGAGATTTACAGTACAATTTGCTATATAGCCCAGGATATCACTGAGTTCAATACCCTTCTGCTTTTGCCTCCAAAGTACTGAAAGTTTAAGAAATGAAGATGCATACCAAAAAAATATAAAACCACACAAGTTATATAGGAAAATAAATATTTTTACTACATTGTAACCTAGGCTCAGCAGTTAAAAACACTCCCTCTTCCAGAGGACGGAAGTTCCACTCCCAGCACCTCCATACATGGTAGCTCACAACTGCCTGTAACTCCAGCTCCTCAGGCACCTGCACTCACATGTGCATACCTACATACAAATACATGCAAGTATAAATAATCAAAAATGGATTTTAAGCAGGGCAGTGGTGGCACACACCTTTAATTCCAACACTTGAGAGGCAGAAGCAGGCGGATCTCTGTAAATTTGAGGTCAGCCTGGTCTACAGCGAGTTCCAAGACAACATGGGCTGTTACACAGAGAAACCCTGTCTTGAAAAGTCAAAATAAATAAGTAAATAAATTTTAAAAATTTTAAAAATAATAAATAAACTGGGTATAGTGCCTTTAATCCCAGCACTCAGGAGGTAGAGGCAGTCGAATCTCTTTGAATTTGAGGCTAGCCTGGTCTACATAGGGAGTTCTAGGACAGTCAAAGCTACAGAGTGAGACCCTATCTCAAAAATGTCAATAAATAAAATAATAATAATAATAAATATTTTTTATTTTTTATTTATTTTTTTAAATATTTATTTATTTATTGTGTGTACAATATTCTGTCTGTGTGCATGTCTGCAGGCCAGAAGAGGGCACCAGACCTCTTTAAAGATGGTTGTGAGCCACCATGTGGTTGCTGGGAATTGAACTCAGGACCTTTGGAAGAGCAGGCAATGCTCTTAACCACTGAACCATCTCTCCAGCCCTATTTTTTAAAACTATTGAGTAAAACAGTTCTGGGAAACAGGATAGTCACACAGCTTTCAAAAGTTATCACCCCAGATTACTTATTAATTATACAGGGGATAAGATCCTTTTACAGTGGAGAAGCCTGGGAAATAATACCTTAATTGAGTGATCAAATTTATCTTTAATAATAGAGAAAGGCTGAGGACACGGCTCAGTCAGTGAAGAGCCTGCCATGGAAACACGAAGACCCGAGCTCAAGCCTTAGAGCCCACATAAGAAAGTCGGACAGGCTCCAGGTTCAGTGAGGAAACCCTGCCTCAAAAACTAAGGTGGAGCCGGGCAGTGGTGGCACATGCCTTTAATCCCAGCACTCAGGAGGCAGAGGCAGGTGGATCTCTACGAGTTTGCGGCCAGCCTGCTTCAGTGAAACCCTGCCTCAAAAAAAAAAAAAAAAAAAAAAAAAGAAAGAAAGAAAGAAAGAAAAGAAAAGAAAAGAAAACTAAGGTGGAAACTAACTGAGAAATATCCAATATTGACCTCTGGCCTTTACAGGCATGTACACACATGTGCACATGCAAGTATACACAAACAATTACACATATGAATGTGCTTGTGCACACATACAAAAATAAATATTGAACAAGAATAGAATAGTAGGCACACCTGAAATCCCCAAACTGGGGGAGGCTGAGGCCAAAGGAATATCTGTGAGTTCAAGGTCAGTCCGACTAGTGAATTCCAGGACGGTCAAAGCTACAAAGCAAGACCACGTCACAAAAAGAAGCGGGGGGCGGGGGAGTAAGAGGAGGAAGAGAGACGAGAAAGAGAAAGAAAAAACAGCAGCACCTAGAATAGGTGGGGAACTTGTTAAAATTCACAAGTCAATAAGCAAAAGTTCCCCTGACAGCTACAGGCAGATGAAGGAACACACGGTTCACAGAAGAGGAAAGCTCCTATCCACAGACAGATACCAACTGGACACACAGAAAATGCAAGACAAGATCTTTCTAGTGCCAGGTTTCTTGCTAGCCCTGTAATGGCTCCCTCAATCAAGATATCTCTTTCCTTGTTCTCCGTCTCTGTTAGGCCCTCTGAATGTGGGTGACAGTTGTACGGCTGCAGCAGACTGTGGGGCCACTGGCAGTGAGACCAGGATTTATCCCTACTGCTTTTTCTAGCTTTTTGGAACCCATTCTCTCTGGAGGAAAACCTTGCTCAGCCTAGATATAGTGGGGAGGGCCTTGGTCCTGCCTCAAAGCAATGTGCTAGACTTTGACTCTCTATGGGAAGCCTACCCTCTCTGAGGAGTGAATGTGGGGGGGGGGGGGGATAGATAAGGTGGGGGAAGATGGAGGGAATAGAAGTGGAGAGAGTAGGAACTGAATTTGGCATGTAAAATGAAAAGATAGTTTGTAAAAAAAATAAATAAAAGAGATCTCATCTCATACCCGAAAGATTGGTCTATTTCTTTCTTTACATCTGGACACGGGCCTATTGATACAATTGTAACAAGGCAGAGCCAAAGGGAGTATAACACATGGGTGCTTCCATTGGGTTTCTATGGCAACATCTAAAATGCTATGTACATGAGTATGTGATGCTTGGTGATATTCTGTGTGTGTGTGTGTGTGATTGGTAGAGAAAGAGAGAGAGAGAGAGAGAGAGAGAGTACACCCATGCACATGAGTGCCACAACTCAACCTTAGATGTTATTCCTACCATAGTTTGGTTGTTGTTTTGTTTTTGCTTTTTGATACAGGATCTCACTCCCAGGATGCACATGGCTCAGTTTCCCTTGTGCTGGAACCACAGACATATGCCCCATAGCCACCTTTTCAGAAACAGGAACTCAGTGAAGGTTGCTGTGTGGCGAGCACAGCAGCTAAGCTGCACTACAATAACCTCTTAGTTATAATAACTATGTAGCACCGGCTGGCCTAGAATTCACTGTGCAGATAATGTGGGCTTCAAATTCATGGTTAGCCTCCTGCCTGTGCCTCCCAAGCACCGAGATGTGAGTTATCATGTCAGGCTTTCGTTTTGTTTTGTTTTAAAGGCGAGTTTATTGAATACACAGAGAGCACAGTGTGTACAGTATTGCCAGAAGAACCACCTGCCAGAGAACTTCCGGACAGTCCGCCAACTCCAGGACCTTTATTAGTTAATCCTATCCATTTCTGATCACTCTGGTTTAATTCATCCACTCATCCCAACCAATCATGATTTAAAACCTTGTACAGGTACTAAAGACACAATTATGAGCAACAACAGAGAATGTCCTTGTCTTCACGGGGCTTAGAACATTGTGAGAAGGGAGTTTACTCCACTGTTCCCGTTGAGAAATGTGAAATCATGACCATTACGACGGCTATGAAAAGTACTTGGAACTCTGAGAATGCAGGAGCTGAGTCAGGGACCCTCCGGACCACCTACACCTTTCATCTGTGTGCACAGTATCTTCTTGTTCAAATTATAAACTCCCGAGCATATTTTAAAAAACAAAACAACACAACAACAACAAACCCACTTAGACTATCCTTTTTGGTTTGAGATCCTTTCCAAGTATCCAAAACATATAGTATATGCTTACTTACATACCATATAAGTTTTGTTTATATAAGGGTCTCTGATTTTGTTTTAAAATCTTCTTTTAGATCTTACTGCATGGAAAAACTACAGGTTTTGTTGTCTTACATATCAGGTTGTGATGTTAAAGGGACCCAAATAAAGTAAAAGTAATAGATTAGCGTGGTATCCTCTGCCAGCATTCCTGACAACTACCTTGATAACACTTAAAATTGTTTCCTTTTCTCTTCCCCCCCCCCCAGACAAGGTCTCATGTAGCTCAAGCTGGCCTCACACTTATTATATAGCCAAGGATGACCTTGAATTCATAATACTCCTACATCTCCAAAGTACTGGCATCTCAGGCCATTTGCCATCCATCATCATCAGTCTGTTTTTCTTTTGAGCTTTTTGTTGTTGTGGTCTCCTCCTCCTTCTATACAAGGTCTCACTCTGTAGCTTAGGCTCCTCACCTCATTGTCTCAGTCTCCCATGTGCTAGCATTATAGGGATAAACCATCATGCCCAGCTAAGGATGACTGTCCAAGAAAGAATCAGCAAACAACCGTAAAAGAGTTCGGTGAAACCATTTCCACCTCTAGAAGGACAAAAGACAACTCTAAGCTTACACAGTACTAAGCCAGTGCTATGACATTACTTTGCACATAAAAGGCAAAACACGCCAGGCGGTGGTGGCGCACGCCTTTAATCCCAGCACTTGGGAGGCAGAGGCAGGCGGATCTTTGTGAGTTCGAGACCAGCCTGGTCTACAAGAGCTAGTTCCAGGACAGGCTCCAAAACCACAGAGAAACCCTGTCTCGAAAAACCAAAAAAAAAAAAAAAAAAAAAAAAAAAGGCAAAACACTCGTGACAAAGCAGTTAACCATAACAAACAAAACAGTTTGATGGTGATCAAAAAGCTTCCACTTACATCACGAAACTGAACCTTTCCGAGTTCTCCTAATTCACTGACGCAACAATAAGCAGCTTCTGACTGTAGAAACAGCTGGGCCAGCGTCATCTCCTCGCTCCGGAAAAGCTCCCCCATGTTGGCAGAGAGTAGTCGGTAAGTGTCTGTGGTTCACTCCAATCTGAGGCAAGGGAGAAAATGATAAGGCTTGAGAATTAACCACTAGGACCAAGGACAAACAATACCAGGTATTATTTCTTGCATGCCCTGTGAGAAGTCTTGCTCTCTGGCTTAGAAAGATGCAAAAACAGCCAGGCAGTGGTGACGCATGCCAGAGACAGGAGGATCTCTGTGAGTTCGAGGCCAGCCTGGTCTATAAGAACTAGTTCCAGGACAGGCTCCAAAGCTACAGAGAAACCCTGACTTGAAAAAACAAACAAACAAATAAATAAAGAGAAAGGTGCAAAAGAGAAATTACAAAAAGTCATTACTAAGTCCCAGACTCCAGAGCCCAACAAAGAGTCACTTCCTTTGTAACTGACATCAGGATTGACTGACAGTACTCTGGGCAACACAATACAAAGGAATAATATGTGCAGATTAAGGATAGGAGCTGGGAACTCCAAAAAGCTCTGTAATATGATACAGTGACATTCACAGCACCTGGAGGTTTGCTTTTATTTTGTTTGTATAACCTATGCTGGTCTCAAACCTATGCTGGTCTTGAACTCCTGCCTCCTCCACCTCCTTAGTTCTGGGATTACTGGAATACACCAACAAACCCAGAGCTTTTTGTTGTTACTGTTTGTTTTTTCACACTAGACAGAATTTTCTTGCTAAAAAGGGTCCTCTTCGTTGTTTTCCTTTGGGTTTGTTTTGTTTGGTGAGCAAGAAACAAGAGACTTTACCCTCTTATGTAAAAGATGTGACTAGCTTTCCTACCTCAACTGACAATGCCCACTTCCAACATCCAAAATCCCCAGTACTATCCCAAAGCTATGGTTAAAGGGCTCAAGCTTCCAAACAGCATTCCTCTTCTAAGGCAGCTCAGTATGTAAACAACATTTTAAAAAGACAATGGAGCCCACCGCAGTCAGCTCAATTTCAACTCAGGCGTGACAGGAACGCGTTGGTAATGACAAAGCACTTTTAACAAGCCAGAGGAGAAGCCTTCCACCCCGGCAGCTATCTTCTTCTCATCCCCACCCTCAAAAGGACTGCCATTCCAATCTGTCGTGTCTCCCCTAAGAGCTACGGAAGACTTCCGTTCTGGGCAGCCACTGGCGCTATCAGTGGTACTGAAATTCCAGTTATTTACTCTCGATAAGCTCTCGTTCAGCTCAGGTAGAGCACGGTCTGCAATATCTAATGTCAGCAGATCATACACTACAGTATTTTTAACGTCGTAAAGTCGTGCATATTCCATATTGACTGATAAGTGAGACTGACATTTCAGAGAAGATTTGATCTTCGGGAAGGCAGGAAGACATTTTGAGGAACCCGAACAACAAATCCTTTCTGCATTTGGTGTTCTCAGGACAGCAAAACAACACACTCTACTAAGCAAGGGTTTCTCAAGAGATTATGTGGGCTGACTTAAGACTGCATATCTGAATCACCCACAGGAGCTATTACCAGTCCTCGCCACCTTGAACAAGGATAGATGCCACAGCCTCAAAATATATGAAATCATGTCTGATCGGGATGACAGCCTCTAACGAGTTGCCGCCCTCCTCCTGTTCCTTCATGATTACAGGCCTGTCTAAGGCTATCTCTACCCCCATTGAAACCAAACACAAAACGAATTTGGAAAAGGGTTTCCGGGGGTCGCGAGATGAAACATGAACAAAGAATAATTCTGCAAAAGGGGGGGGGGGATCCAAAACAAACCTTACGTCCTCCCTGGAGGACTCCCTATCTCGCTCGGGTTTTCCAATTTCCCCTTCCTAGCAGGGAGCATTTGTCGGTCACCTGCTTCGTTTCTGGGCAGCACAGTGAGAAAGCAGAAATTCTCTGGACCAGGCACAACCTGTCTTCAGGGTAAGGGAGAAACGCCCAGATTCTAAAACCCTTTAAGAAATTCCCTCGGATCCCTCTGCCTATTCGATCTCCTCTATCCTGTCGCCTCCCCCTCCCGGGTCCTCCCGGGTCCTCCCGGGGCAATGGCCCTCCAGTTCCTCTGCCCACAGGAAGGTGTCTGAACTGGAGGATGAGCCCCCTCACATTTCTCCCAGAGACCTAAGGCCCCCGCTAATTCTTCTGACAAGCGTCCGGGGTATCGGAGTGTACCCCTAGGTCCCCTTGAAGGCCGCTCCGGGACGCGCTCTTTCCACAACCCTCACTCACCTCTGGCCCGCACCGCCGCCGCGACCGCAGCCGCCGCAGCAAAGCCCCCGGCTCCGGCAGAGCCGAGTCCCGAGGAGGTACGCAAGCAGGCTCCGCCCCCACGCCACCGCCGAGTCCCGCCCCCAAGATGACTTCATCGCAGTTGACCAATGGGATGCTGCCTCTGCCGGGCTGCCGCAGTGCAGAGTCCAGGGGGCTCGGGCGAGTCTTCCCGTGCTGACGCCATCTTTGTTCCGGCGTTGTGATTTCCAACCGGGAGTGTTTGGAATCGTCATTGCTGGGCGTGTGACTTTCTGAAGTGTCTGGCTTCTGAGCCTGTCTGAATCGTGTCTCCTATTATCCTCGGAGCAAGGTTACCTGCCATCTCTATTTTCCAGGGAAACGATTCACAACCCCTTTTTGAAAGCAGCGTGAAAGAAGTGGCTGTTTATAGAATGATGTGAGTGCTGCAGGGGGCTTCAAAGTTCGTCTTCTCCGCAAGCACACATCCTTTGCCATTCTTCCACCCCTGAAAATATTTGAGCCCCAGATTGGAGAGCGACTTAAAACTTACGCCGATCTCGTCCTCTTACGAAGTACAGGATTCTTTCTTCCATTAGCTGCCTAGGGTTTACACTTATACAAATGACAAGAAACGACCCAGTTGAGAAAACGACTATTTTTATCTTGCTTAGTAGATTCCCGTGAACCCATCTGGCCACGTAGGAGTTTTCAGTTCCTCGTATATCTTTTGAATGCAAAATGATACTACTTACTATTTTTTTTTAAAAGCTCATTTCCCAAATAGTAATAGAGTTCCTTTTCCCTCTACTAGAGAGCAGTAGGGAGTCGGTGTTAATAACCGGACCCATCAGGAAGAACTCGGAGAACTGGTCAGTCAGTCTCCGTGGGTGGCGGAACTCTATTGAAATTCAAGTGTCGTGAACGAGATATTTCAGATTAAAAACAAAGCCAAAAAAAAAAAAAAAAAACTGGTGCTGATAATTTTGTCGGTCTGGCAAAAACAAAAACAAAAAAACAAAACAAAAAAAAAACCACTACAAAACCTGTTTTGCAAGCCCAAACAAAATGATGGACGCGGTGAAAATTTTATTTAGATTTTTCTATTGCATATGATAATTGAAGATGTCACAGGTCTCCTGAGACGGAGCATTTCTGAGACCTGACTTTACCATATCCACATTTCCCAGTTCCTTTGCTTTCCTGACAAGGCAGAGAGGGACCCACAGTTGAAATCCTGCCGAATGTTAGAAAAAACGATTTCACAATGACTGTCACTTCCTTCCTCAGAGACTTGGAAAAAAAAAAACAAAAAACCCTAACCTCAGAGTCAGCTGCTTGCTAACCACAAACACAAATGTTTCCTCCACTACCTGAAAGAAACCTATCCCTGACTAACTTTTATTTCCTTGAACCTTTTTCGTGGCTTCCCTAAAAGTACATCCTCGCAGAGGTGTTTATATATAGTAATACTAATTTATCTGTTGGGTGTGTTTGTGTGCTCCTCGTGCCGTGGAGGTCAGAGGACAATTTGGGAGTTGGTTCTCTCCATGTGTTTCCCAGGGACTGAACTCAGGCATTAAGCTTGCCTGAAAGCGCTTTAACGTGCTAAGCCTTCCTCACGGCCCTATAGTTCCTATTCTTTTTCCTTTCCCGCCTACCAGACACCCTACCTCTTCCCAGTGTTCTGTTTATTTTCCTTCCATGCTCTGTCCTTGGCCATCTTGTCTCTTGCCAGTTTCAAGTGTCTATATTTAAGGATTCATATCTACTTTTCTACCCATCACCTTACTTTATGGTTAGACATGGGACTTCTGTCTGCTAGATAATATCTCATAGGCAATATATCTGCTGAAGTCTGCTGTGAACCAAACAATATTAGGTACCACAGATAGGAAAACAGAGCAGATACACTTCCCATCTGAGAAATACCTTGAGAAGTAAGTTCCAATACTTACAAGAGAGAAAGAGGGGTGTAGTGGCTCATACCTATAATCCTAGTAATGGGATGCTGAAGCAGGAGGATTGCCTCCTAGTGAAAGCCAGGCCAACTAGAGCTGTAAAGCATTAAAAAAATAAATAAATAAAAATGCAAGGTAGAGAGAGCTGAGTGCAATGATTAATATTCTACTTTAAGCCAGGAGATTTTCTAAATGCTTTATAAATACAGTCTCATTTAGTTCTCGCAGTAACCTTAGGAAGCAAATATACCCATTAATCAGAAGATACGGCATTGTCCAGCAAGATCAAATTTTAAATGCTTTGGAAGCCGGGAGTGTAGCTCTGAGATAAAATACATGCTTGCCATGCATGAGGTTCAATCCCAAGCATAGGAAACAAAAGTAAAGAAGTGCTGTTGGGGCAGGTGCATTGTTAGACAGACACCCGTAGCCTCCTGACAGCAGGGAGCTGAGATAGGAGGGTCATAGAGCCCGGAATTTCTAGGCCAGCTTGGGCGACATAGTAAGATCCACTGTCCACCAAACAAATACAAATAAATAATAAAACAAAGTGCGGATGAGTATGCCTGTGGCCCTAAAAATGTCAGCAATCCCATGTGAGGCTTAGGCAAAAATATCAACTCTAAACTGAGATTTTGCTTAGACACCTAAGCAAAGATTAATTCTCCATTCTCCCCTACCAAGACAAAGCAGATAGCAGATGCAAGGATCTGAGAAACAGAATGTCAGAAAGTCACGAGAAGCCAGTGAGATGAGGTGCACTTTCAATTTTACTTTGAGTTTCCCCCCAAAACACTAGAGCTTTTACATTCAAAGCCCAAGGATGTTTAAGATAAAGGTCCTTTGGTAAAGCAAAAACCTCTTCAAAATGCACTTTGAGGCTGCTTTTGTTGCCTTAAGGGCCAATTCCCTTTAGTTCTATTAATGATTACACGGACAAGGAATGAGCCTAAGGCTTGTGACATTTTCAGCAACCCTCATGACTCTCAGATACTTGAGGCAGGAAGTTCTTTAGTTGGCAGGGATTGGAATGCTATGCAAAGGGGAACCCTAAAGGAGTGGCCTGCTGAAAGCCTGGGGAAGCTAGAGAGGGAATGAGGGACAAGGTGGAGGGATGCAGAGACCTCTGTGACCTCAGACCTCAAATACTTGCTCAGGAGAGTCAGAAACCAGCCTCCGTTTCTGAAGAGACAACCTAGCAATTATAACTGTGTTGGCTTTCTACTGATTCACCTGGAGCAAAGAAACACATGGGCATTCCAGTGGAAAAAGATTTAGTTAGTGGCGTCTTAGTACTTGGGGAAGTGGAGACAGGAGCCAGGCTCAGGTACAGAGTGAGTCCAAGGCCAGCCTGGGATGCATGAGATCCTGTCCCAAAAGACAAAGGAAAAAGAAAGAAGGAAAGAAAGAGAGGAGAGAGAGAAAGAGGGAGGTAGGAAGGGAGGGGAGCCTCAGCTGGGTGGTGGTGGTGGTGGTGGTGCAGGCCTTTAATCCCAGCTTTTGGGATTTAAAGTCATGTGGTGTCTGGAAAATCTGCTGAATTCTGCCAAAAGACAGATGTCATTCTGACCCCCCTCAAACACTGTAATAATTGTGGTGGGATTTTTTTTTTTTTTCATTTTAAAATGCTGCACTCCCGAGGTTTAGAACCAAGAGACTCTGAGGCGTAAACCCATTCTTGGTCGCTGGCTAATAGAAGGATTTCTATATAGCCCTGTGCAGCTGGCCTTTAATCCCAGCACTCAGGAGGTAGAGTGAGGCAGATCCCTGGGAGTTTGAGGTCAGTCTGGTCTATAAAGCGTGTTCCAGAGAGACCCTGTGTCAGCTGGACGGTGGTGGTGCATGCTTTTAATTCCAGCACTTGGTAGGCAGAGGCAGGCAGATCTCTGAGTTAAAAGACAGCCTGGACTACAGAGAGAGTTCTAGGACAGCCAGGTATGCACAAAAAAACCCTGGCTTAAAAAAACCAAACAAACAAACAAGCAAGCACACAAACAACAACAAAATCAAAGGACTTCTATACTCTTAATTGGTTTAATTGGGTGTTTGTCAATAACTGACTGTCTCACATGGATCATTTCATCAGAAGTTCAAGATCACCATCAACAGTTTCAGGAGTTCAGCCTAGATTAGAGACCCAGTCTTCAAGTGCGGTGTGTATGTGTGTGTGTGTGTGTGTGTTGGGGGGGGGCATTTAGTATTTTTCCCTTGCCAAATAGCTCTCATGTAGTATAGTCCTCCTTGTAAAATTTTATTTATGAAAGTGTCCATGTGTGTGTGTGTCACATGTGTGCAGGTGTCCTCAGAGTCAGAAAAGGACTTCCAATCTCAGAGAGCTGGAGTTACAGTGGTTGTGACCTCCCAACATGGGTGCTGGGAACCACACTTGGATCCTCTGGAAGAGCAGCCCTTAATCGTTGGACTGTCCCGTCAGCCTTCTGCGTTTGCTTGCTGGTGCCCTCAGGGAGTTACTTTTTCTATTTTATCCACATGTGTTTACTTCTCTTTTAGAAAAGGCTTGCTGTGAAGGGACTGTCCGGCTTTGCTGGAAAGGGAACTCCCTCTGATTGACAGGCTCCTGTCCTTTGCAGGAGGGACTTGAATTTCTGTCGGAACAGGATGTCCCAGCTTACTTTACACTTGCCCTGTTCTGTCATCCATTTCTCCGAGGAACTCTGCTTCCTTTTTGTGAGGAATACTATTTAGAAATCCGGTCCTGGGTACCAAGTATGTACAATGTTATTGTGTTTTAGTATCTCTGGGTTTTTTCAACAGGTGGAGACAGGGTCTTTATTTATAAAGAGATTCCTGGAGCTGTGTGGTTATACTGTTGCCTTTAGCTCCTTTCCTTTTTCTTTTCATTTTTATTTGTTTATTTATTTATTTTGGTTTTTCAAGACAGGGTTTCTCTGTAGCTTTGGAGCCTGTCCTGGAACTAACTCTTGCAGACCAGGGTGGCCTCGAACTCACAGAGATCTGCCTGCCTCTGCCTCCCGTGTTCCGGGATTAAAGGCTTGTGCCACCACCATCCAGCTTCTTTTTTTCCTGAAACAGAGTCTCACATAACCCAGGCTGTCCTTCAACTCCCTGTGCAGCTGAGGGTGGCCTTGGGTTTACATCCTGAATGCTGGGACAGAGGATGTGCATGGTCACCTCTGGTTTATACAG